GAATGGCTCCATGTATATACAGATGGTTCTGCACTGGAAGCACGCAAACATGCCGGAGCTGATGTTTATTCTAAGGAGTTTCAACTTGCCGCCCCGGTCGGAAAGGTAGCCACAAACTTTGAAGGGGAAGTGAAAGCCATTCTCTTAGGCCTTGAGATGTTAACTGAACGGAAAGACAAGAAAGTGGCTTTCTTTGTTGACTCACAGGCAGCCATTTTGTCCCTAAAAAATGGATATAGTATAAATCCAAATGTTCCTAAATGCCATCAATATTTGAACCAATTAAAGGAAAATGGGACAGAAGTCGCTTTCCACTGGATACCAGGCCATTGCGGGCTCCACGGAAGTGATGAAGCTGATAAACTGGCCAGAATAGGTTCTGGAATGATCCAACCTGATATTCCTCTGACCATGGATTCAACAAAAAGAATCATAAAGCAGACCCTCCAAAGTTCACTGAAAGCGAAATATGTACAAACAATTGAAGGGAAACGATGGAGTGGATTGCTGGAAGAAAGTGGCAGGGTTCCTAGAGACCTCTCTAGAGGGCAAGCCGTGGCATGCTTTAGAATGCTGACAGGCCACGATTTCCTTCAGAAGCACCTCCACCGCATCGGTGTAAAAGATAGCCCGACATGCCCTCTATGTTCCTTAGACATAATGACAGGAGAACATCTGGATACATGCCCTGCATTACAGGACATAAGATGTTGCTTTAATGAAATGGACAGCTATTATACTCGGAGAGCAAAGTTGTACTGGACTGCAAGAGCACGCATGGCTAACGAAGCAGGCGTTACTTAGGCGTAGGAAAAAAAAAAAAAAAAAAAAAACTTTCATTTATCTATATATGAAATAGTAAGGGACAGTATTAGGATCGTGAAAATTTTTTAAGTTTTCAACAGAAATACATGTTTTGAGGTCTCCTGAGTCCAAATAACCAAGTCCCGCAAAATGGTCTGTCTGTATGTGACTTGTCTAGCTCAAAAACAAAAAGTCGTATGAAAATGAAATTGCATATTTAAGGTTTGTATATACCTGAGATGTTACAGCAACTTTTTTGTCAAAATCGGCTAACCAGAAATGGCACTTTATATCATCGATGAAACACATTTTTACTATTTTTTCGAAAACGGCTGAAACGATTTTGATTAAATTCATTATATCAGTGTAAAATTAAGCAGTTTTTAGTATTATGCGGGTTTTATTCTCATTGATGTTCTCTAACAGGGATTAAAGAGCTAATTTTCAATATTAGCTTCCTCTAAAGTATCTTTAATTTTTTTTATTTGAAACAATTAACCATTTCACATTGATCTCTAATAAAAAAATAGTTAAATATAAAATATGAAAGAATTTCATAATCAACTAAAAGAGAAATATGAGATTGTAACAGAGAATAATTGTAATGAATGAACCAAAGGGATACGAGCGCAGCTGAGCTCACCCGAAGATCAGAATAGGCTTCCATACGTAACATGAACATAATAAAATATGGACTCCGACAATATTATGTACACATACATATGCATACGCATATGTATGTGTACATACATGAGGTATGAATGTGATATCTAGAAAACATAGGTCAAAACGTCAGCAAAAAATAAATATTTTTTTTTAACGTTTTTTATTTATGTTTCTCACTGACTGTAACTTCTCAACCATATTATAAACATATCTAAAATTAACTATTTCTTCACAATTATGAATATTTTCAGGGTTCAGTTTTGATTTAATAATAAACAAAAATTATGACAGTAATTTAACAATATAGTATAACAGTAATTATAGAAAATCATAGGAATAAATATATATATATATATATATATGTATAGCTAAAATCGTGAACACTTCACACACATGCTAAGACATGCTGGCAACTAATTATTCTAAGTATATTTAACCACACCAAATTTAAAATACATAATAATGCTAGTGACAAAGAACAAACAAGTACACAGTGCTTTTTCATTTTGGACTCATACAATCGATTAGCTATATTGGGTATAGGCAGAGGCTACACAATTAAACGAACGACTGTCTTTAACAATAATGTCCAGATTAACAAAAATATATAACTGTGATGATTTCACTAACATAAATACATAATTAAGCATTTACTTTTTTTAATTTATGACATAACACACAATATGCAGGTAGATTACAGTGGGTACAAATTTTATATATATCTAAATTTTATATTTTAAAATTCCCCGCCCTCAACCACCGGCCAGGAAAACCCCATACAGCCTAAAAAGCGAGGAAGGGAGGATAAAAAAAAAAAAGAATTTTTAGATTCCACCCCCCCCCCTTCCCCCCTCCCCCAAATCATAGACCAATTTTTCTCTAACTGAACATCAAACTTTAATTAGTTTAAAAACTGACCTTAAAGTTTAATTCTTTGCAAAAGCGACCTTATTTAAATTTCAATGTATTCAAATTACTATTGAAATAATAAGTGGTTTTTGGAAATATGAGCTATAAATAAAGATTTTCTTATTTTTTTTTTTGTGATAAATATTGATTTTGATATTGATTCGCTTTTCCCCAAAATTTATAAATGATGATTTCGATTCACTTTGGAAATAAATGACTCGTATAATAAATTAATTTTTCTGTGACATTATTCTCATAAAATATTCTTCTATTTTCTCCTTCAATTAATTTAAGTTATAACTATTGTTTCTAATTAAAGTTAAGGCATTTTTTTTTTCAATTTTTAACATTTTTCCATTTTAGTTAAACATAATTACCCTTTTATTATGTTTATTATGAATTCAATAGTTTCTTTATATATCAGTTTTAGTCAAACCCAACTCCACAGAATGTAATGTTAGAAATAAAGTACACAGAAATGCGATCCCCTCAGTTAGAAACTAATGAAAATAAAAACAAAAAATACAATCTTTTGTGTCCAACATATAGTGTGTTAATATTAAACATGATTTTATTATAAAGTAAAAATATTATAACCAGACACCAGACTAAATTTGTGTTGATGATTTTCGAAAACTGAATTCACAAAATTTAAATTAATTTTTCTAAAGCATCATATTCTCAATTAGAATAAAATACAAGATTATTTCAATTTATATTTAATAGGTTAATAGGTGAATAGGTTTTTTAGAAATTAGATAAAAAAAAAAAAAGATCAATGAACTATATCAATTACTAAATATACAGTTCCACGTGTAGGATTTGATACATGAATAACATGCACAGCAGCTGAGCGAATATAACTTTCAAATGCAAAAATTCTTTGAAGAATCATCATTATAAGAGTGTGGAACACTTCAGAGTTTCAGAACTTAACATGGCATAATTTTATCTTGGAACATACAAACGAACAGACTCATATAGAAAAGGTAACTTCACTCCAATGAGTGAAGATCTAGAAAACAGTGATCCAAGCATTACACATTATGATTCAATGAAGGAACAAATGAAATAAATTTATGCATACAAAAAAAGTAAATTTAATCATTTTTATAACTGATTTAATACTTTTCAAATACAAAAGGGGTATCATATAATTGTAAGGAAAGAGATTATATAGACCTTAAATGTTAGCAGAGATGAAGAACTCCGTAAAACGATTAGTCTATCAATCAGTGACCTTACATAGTAAAAGTTACATTGTTTACGAATAATATTGGATAATTTTGCCAAGTACCTTATAAGAACTATGAATTTATTGCATGTATATGTGTAGTTATTATGTAAACCACTAGGCCTCTGGTAAGGACTTTAATAATAACAAAATTATAAATTGTTAAAAATAATAATTTAAAATGAAACCCATCTCTCTCCGATGACCTTTGATACAGTACAAAAGTCTATTACTTTTTGGAATAAATAGGACAAAAAAAATCCAGTACAGCTTATGAAGTGTTTTGGGTGCAGTATTTATAAATAAAAATTAACAAGCAACAAAGTATGATTTCCAGAAAGTATTATAATCATATGATGAAGTATTAAAATGGTTGAAAAAAAACAACAACAAATGGCTGGATATTAATTTAATCTATTCTCTAATGTAAAACTTACGTGAAAGAAAAGAATTAACCTAAATAGGTAGGAACTAGAAATTATAATAAAAAAGGTAAGTAAATTATAAATTTATATAACGACAAAAAGTAAAAGATATGATGGAGTATATTTGTACTTAATGTCAAGGGACACAATTTATTAAGGATTCCTCAGACAGGAAAAGCAACTACACCGCTCATAAATTTTTATTTCCAAGACATTTCATCTGTCTGGCCATCATCAGTTGATTTAGTGGTGTTAAGGAGAGCTGTCATAGTTAGGAATGTTAAATTTAAATAATAATAATAATAATAATAATATAAGGCTTAGCCAACCCAAAGGTTCAATACTGAAACCAGAAAATGTCAACACACTTCCTTATACCGGCTTCAGTCTATCCCTCCGACATTTACTAGTCGCTATAGAGCACAATCTTTTAGGGATTATTTCATTACTAAGCCCAAAATTAATCATCTCAATTATATTAACCAGCTACAGTTAACGTAATTCTACTTTCTGTAACTGTCTAAATTCTCCAGATGACCCATCTTTCTTTGGTTCGAATATTCTATGCAATTTTATTTTCAAAAACCTTAATATTTTGCACATCCTCTAAATTAAATTTAAATTTAACATGGCTTATTGGTAACAGCTCCTCTCAACACCACCAAATCAACTTGTGATGGTCTTACAACTTAAACATTATGAAAATAAAACATTTTTAAGTGGTGAAGTTGTTTTTCTAATCTCAGGAATCTCTTGTAAATGATATGACTTTGGAAAAAAAGCTTTGCTAACAATGCTATTTTCGGTTAATTATTATTAATAATTATAAGATCTATTTTTCATAATTAAAAGTAAAGTAAAATTATAATTTGGAAAGAAGAACAGATACAAAAATAAAAATAGTATAACAAATGTTAATCAAGTAAGAGAGATATGGAAAAAAAAATGTAAAAACAAAACGGCTACTCACCAGGGTAGCTGCGATTGAGAAGTTGGTCCCTGTCGCACTCAGCCTCAGACATCTCATTGCTTTCCTTAGACTCGTTGGCAGAGGAGCTGTTGTCGTGGTTACGTGGTGGTGGTGGGGGCGGCTCTGGGCTTCCTGACATTGGCAAGTTTCGAGCAGAACCTGATTTGTTAGTGTTCACACAACAACTATAAGTATGTCTTATAATAAGGGATTACTCATGGACAAAGTTTCTCATTTAATAGTAACGAAATGGAACATTTCGGTATTCGAAGGATCTTCCTGCCGACGCATCAACAATGCAAAATATATATAAAAAAACAAAACAAGATGACCAAAGTAAGGAATATTTTTATTTTCAAGTTTATTTATTATCAGCCAGTTTACACCAATTTTCAAAATTTTCTCAACTTTATGACTGCACATCTGATTACGACGTTTCGGCTTATTGAGCCATTTTCAAGTCTAAAATTTTTTACAATTTACAGTCATATTTAAAACATTACAAACTTCAACATATAGAGATTCTTTTTATATACCTAAAATACCAAGTACAGGTATATGATTGGTATTTTAGGTATATAAAAAGAATCTGTATATGTTGAAGTATGTAATGTTTTTAATATGATTGTAAATTATAAAAATCTTTTAGACTTGAAAATGGCACAACGAGCCGAAACGTCGTAATCAGATGTGTAGTCATTAAGTTGGCAAAATTTTGAAAATTAGTGTAAAATGGCTCATAATAACTAAACTTGAAAATAAATAGTATGCACTGAAGAAGAATTGGAGTAATATTGTGAATATTTTTAAATTTATACTTTGCCATAAGTAAAGTCCTAGGTTAATTTGAGAAGTTAAAAGTTAAAATATAAAATAAAATTAGCAACTCTTTCAAGGCACCTTATCTAACATGCTGCATAAATTAGAAGAAACATAAATAATATGAAAATTTTGTAATGTGATCAGATCTGAAAAACCATAGAACTATCGAGACAGATTTCACACAGCTGTTTATGGTTCTTTTCATGTTTAATTTTTAATGGATATGTAATTATTGGTTTAATTATTTGACAGAGGTAGAGACAAATCATCAGAACCTGACATAACGAAAAAAAAACGGAATTAAACTTTTTTTTTTACACAGAGGTCTGAAACAATGAAAACTAAATCACAAAAATTTGAACCGATCCCTACCTCAGGTAGCAGTAAGGAAAGTAAGAACGACGCACTAATGCATTAAAATCTTCATCATATGCACGTTTTGATAGTTTTACTAAAAGAAATGGTAATCAAGTTAATAAACAAAAATATTTTTACTCCATGCAATACCAGTACTTAAAAAAAAATATTAGATATGACACGAGTAAAACGAAGGCAAAATAATATATTTATTTTATTTACTAACATCTAAAATATGACAATTTAATAAATTGAATATTAATGCAAGTTAAAGACATTGAAAATTTGAGAAATAATATGAATACATTTCAATAATTCTTCCGACAATGTTTTACATTGATGAATATGCGATATTTTTTTCTTCACATGAATTAATTAAGAAAATAGTGATTGGGGACAAAGTCAGAAATACAACAAACCATTAATAATTTTTTACTGTTTTATAAGTGCCAATGTTTTGGCTGTCATTTATTACAGCTCAAAACATGATAAAAATGGAAATAAAATGACTGTAGAATATTTAAAACTAAGTTAGAAGAATTGTAAAAATATCTGTTATGTATATATAGTTATTAATTCGGCTAATTTAATAATTATAAATTTTTTTTTCTAATAACTTACCGACACTCCTTCTTCCGAGTGAGTTTCTGCTGCTATAATGATCGTAGGGAGCACCATAAGGAGTATACTGAGAACCATATGGATCATCTTCAGTGCAATTAGCGGGGTCGTCGTATTCTGGAGAAAATGTTGAATTGACACCTGCCCTGGAGTATCTTCCATTACGAGGCTGAAATGAAAAAGGTTTGATTTGTTTATTATTATCCTAATTATGGGAGAAATCCTTATTATAAACAATGATATAGTGATAAAATAATAATAATTACCATGGATTGAGAACCAGAACGATGATGAGCAGTTGTTGTTCCATTTCCAGGTCCAAGAGTGCCACAATGTCCATTCTGGTGGGGGAAGGTCTGGAATTGCATAGCCTTCGAAGGATCCATTTCTTCCCTGAATCCTAACAGGTGAAAAGTAGCATATGGGCAGATATCGTCATCCATACCTGTAAATAATGAAGTCCGTATAGGTAAGACTCTTTCATTTGATGAAAATCGAATCATACAAATAAAACCATGCTCATTGAAAAAAGCAAAAAAAATAACAATTAGTCTACTTATCATTCATAAACAAACTTTAAAATAAAATTAGTCTTTATCACAAGTTTTATATTATAAAATATTTTAATTATATAGTAAATTTTGAGAAAAATATCCTGTTTTGTAAATACTGAAGTTAATGAATTAATTTTAGGTTATATTTATAGTTAACAGGTCATTTGCATTCTATTGCTTTTCTTTAACTTATAATCAAGAAAATGTTTGTCAAAGAAAAAATTTTTTTTATAATTTTATGATACCCTCTACTTCATTAATATGTGAGGGATGGGGAGGGAGTCATTATAGAGGTACAACTAAACCTATTCTAACCAGAGTGGGTCAAAATTCATTCTACGGCTCCACCATAAAATAAATTTCAACATGCCCAGGCCTGATTCAAACCAGCATTACGAACTCAAAAACATTGTTTCTTTTTCAATCAAGAGTAACCACATTACAGAGGCTCAGTGCTCCAAGAGGGTCTCTTGAACCCAGGTTAGATCAAAGGCTGATGTAACAGTTTAAATAATTATCTGCCACAGCCGACTTGAACCAAGACATGGAATATAAGACTACAGTGCTTACCGAGGCACCCTGCTTCCATTAAATAGTTCCTTATTCAATTATTTATGGACTCCAATAATCATTCATTATTGCGCACAATAGGCCTTCATGGTCACAGTGCTTTTTTTCACAAAAAAATAAAACACATTCATTAAACTTTTTCTATACTATACGATCAAGTTCGAGTTGACGAGGCGCCTTAGAGAAAAGGAATTCACCTGCTTTGACGAGGTCTATTGCATCGACAATGAAGGATCTACAAGATATGCGGTTATTGTCGCATTTCCCAAGACAGGAAGGGCAGCGATTATCTTGGATCCAATTGTCCGCTTTGAGAGCAATGTGACTAGTGTTATGATAAGGGAAGAAAAGGACTATATGTATATGTATAATGACAAAACAATGTAATGTAAGAATTATTCCATATGGATTGATTAGTATGCTGTTTACAAGGCAACCCTATGAAGTACGGCACCATTACTTTCAATAAAGTATTTCTCTCTCAATATTTTTTTTTTAAATAATGCATTTAACTTTAAAAACAATAAAATAAGCCAAATAAACTTAACAGATCATTTATATGTTTTCAGTAAATATTTTTATTTTTATGATTTTTATAAAGTTGTTTTTAAAAGATGACATCAAATTCATTGCTGGAATTAAATGTATAGGACATTGATAGATTAGTTTAATAAGAATATAAAACATTCTTCAATATTTTATGATTTAACAAGAGTAATTAAAACAAATATAGTAAGAATAATATGAAAAAATAAAGAAGGAAAGAAAAGAGATTTTTTCTTTTGAAAAAAATAATACAACTTGTGATAAAAAAGACTATTGAAAAAAAATTTTGAATGGGCACTAAGATTCATTAACACGTTGACTGCTGTTTCATAATTCTAATATAAAAAGTCAGTTTGATTTAATCATATTATATGATTGAAAACTCTGATTTCAGTACATAATTATCATCAGAAAGCACAAAGAATGTATTTTTTTTAAATAAAAAAATCTTGCAAATTATCTTGTGATTAATTATGTCGTGCACATACAGGGTTATTATAGCGAATAATTATTTTCAGCTTAAGCCAAACATGATACTTTGTACTCTTTCCAGAGGTCACTGATATGCTAAAGAGTTCATTGTAGCACCATAAATTTGGAAAATTAACAAACCAAGAGATAACTCATAGTTGAAGTTCTAGGCAAGAAGACAAACTAAGAGTTATCTTATAGCAGCAGTCAAGGCGTTAAATAAGTTCTGTTGCAACCTTTCTTTTCAGTTAAATAACTTATAGTTAATGAACGATGATCGAAAAGAACATAAAATCTTTTGAGTTTCAAATAAATACAATATTTTCAAACTTTTGCTATCCTTGTACAAGTGTACAGTTGAACAAGGTGTTTCAGATAAGTACAGAGAAAATATATCAGAAATTCCAAATCTAATTATCAACAAAAAATTTCTTACAAGGCATGATCTATCTCCTCATTTCGCCAAATAGTGGATTTTATGATTTATCGATCAGTTTTTTTTGTTTTTTTCTCCAAAATGCCTACTGTATTTCAAAGAAAAGATGTAAAATTTCCTTTTTCACCATTCTAAACATTATTTTTTATTTTTTTTTAATATGACATATCATGCCTTTATGCGAACATTTTTGGTAAAAATTTGAAATAGAATTGCTGGAATTTTTTGTCATTATTTATCTGGAACATCCTGAATAGCAGGGGCACCCAACCCAATATTTTCTAGTCAATATTCGTAATTTTTAACACTTTTTTTGTATGGAGGCAAACTAAATAACACAGTTTGTAATTTTGCATTTGATGTACTTTATCAGTTATATAGCCGTCTTTTATTTTATTATTACATATTCTTTATTCTATTGGCAATACACACTTTGTAGATGTCTCCTTAACAAGCTTTCTGTATCCCTGTCCATCTTGAGCTACTGCATTTCAGTTTCATGCATGCAGTTGTATATTATCTTCATTGATTCCATCGATCTATCTGGTTTTTAGCTTTCTACATGGTTGAACCTACTATTGAGACATTTATTGCGATGTAAAGGTTTTCTGATGGATTGCTCTGAACTAAAAGCCCATCTTAACCTCCTTGCCTTCATATCATAAGATATTGATTGACCAGTTTCTGTAAGCAGTTCTTTATTCGTCTTTATCCTCTGTCAGCAGTCTGATCTCAGCAGGATTTTTTTTCTTAAATCATTCAATTCTTTCGTGTCCACATCTCATAGCCACATATCAGAACTAGATTTATCACTTATTTCAAATTATCATATTATAATCATTTTATGCAAATTAGGAAGCACTGACCAATTAAATGTATTGCAAATATCACATTATCTTTTTTATTTTTTCGTCCTCATTTTCCACGCCATTTAGGCTAAATGGGATTTTCCTGATACAGGGGGTGGGGGATTAATGAACTAGAAAGAATGAAATTTCTAGAAAAAAAAAACAATAATTTGATGTCCACCACTTGACTAGTAAAATATTTAAAAAGCTCTTTATTATTAGAAAAATGTTAAGGACCCTTGCTTTATTTTGTTCGTAAGTTCTACGGGAGATGTTTATAAGTAAGGTGTATGAAAAAAAATTAAATAACAGTTACTCTATCAAAAAAATTTTTTTTATTATTATGACATTTCTGGATCCACTTTATTGTCCAATCTTCCAATCATTACTAATCTTTCCATCATCTAATTTATTAAAAGACTTGTAATAAATTTTATTATAATAAATTATCCCTTAATTATATTGTGGACTCTTTTAGGCTCTCTCTAGACAAGAGTCTCTTTATTAGAGAAGTATACTTTTAATAAATTAGATCATGGAAAGATGAGTAATGGTCTGAAGATGGGACAATAAAGTGGATCCAGAAACGTCATAATAATAAAAAAAATTGTTGGGGGAGTAACTGTTTTTAATTTTTTTTTCATATACTTTGTAATATTGTTTAATATTTAAATGAAACAAAGACTCTTGATCTGTTGAACTGAAAAGAAAAGGTTGTTATAGAAACAATAAAGCAAATAATTAACTATATTTTTTTTTTTTTTTTAACTGCCCATAATATATATTTAAAAAAAAAAATTAAAACTCAGTTGCACTATAAACATACAAAAATGCTGGATACAAAAAACCACGCATACACACACAAAATCTCTATCACAGACTGAAGCTCTACAGATGCAGTGAGAGAGAGAGTGATCGTGTAGACCGAGGCCACCACCACTGAGCTGTTGAAGTGAATGACTGAGAGCGACTTACCTGCCCTGTGGTACATGGTCTCGTCCGAGCCAGGGCACCTGCCTAACCTGGTTCTGCACGGCCCGTGCGAGGCCAGCTCCTCGTACATATGCCGCCTGGGGTCCCAGGTAGTGTGCCCACTGCACAGGCCCCCTCGCCCTGCCGACGATTGTCAACAAGTGCAAAACAACCAATAAAAAAACAACTCAAAAATAAATAAAAATAAAATAAAATGAACCTTTGGGAAATCCTGTGATCTCTATTCCTGTAAATTTCCGTCTGTCATACGAGCTCTGGGTCTATTAAATAACAAGATTATACTGTAAAGAATTTTATTTTGATTCCAGACACATTTTTATCATTGTACAGACACCTTTTTTATCAAATTATTAACATCGGCCTAAAACTACATGAATAGTTTAATCTCATCGTAACCTCCAATTTTTTATTTACAAAAATATACATTACTAATTATGTTGTAAATTTTGAATTTGTATGTATTTTTGTACTATACTTTAAACAAATGTGTGTATTTATTTTTTCTTTGATCTTAGTTTAAGTTCACACCAGTTTGAATAGTTAAATTTATTTAACACCCTTGTGGTTTATTTCTCTTGAAATTATACACAAGTGCCTAATAGATGTTTGATATCTAATGATTATTTAAACTATTGATAATCACTAAGCATATTGTATATTTACTAAAAAAAAGTAAGCATTTGTTTGAATTCTGAAATTGGAAGTGTGTATACATAAACATGTACAAATGTGTGTATGTACTTATTTTTGTTTCTAATGTGGTAAGTCGTCAAACACCATATTCTATTCTCCCCTAAGTGCCTATAAAATGTTAAATATGATGATTTTCTATTTTAAATTTTAATTTATTCGAAGTAGTTATATACTACTCTTGAAAAAAATATATGTATTTAGTATAAATTTACAAAAATATATTAGGTACATTTTCAATTTGAAGATTGGCAAACTTTGTCTATTTAATTAGGTACTAAAAAGCTGTGAATGCATTTACTTTACATTTGAATCATAGGATAATTTGATAAAATCGAGAATAAAGGTGGCCAACAAAATATTGAGACATTTGGAGTGACTTCCACCAGCATGTCATATGTCGAAATAATGCGCTTACCCATACCAAATGCCCCAATATTTTTGAGGAGTTGATCAGAGAGTGCGGTCAAATAAATACTAAATTATAGAAATAGTATCATTTAATTTAATTTTATTATTTCTATAATTTAGTATTTATTTCACACACTCCCCGATCAACTCCTTCTCATATTATATCACGGTCAACCATCTCAACACTACAATATTTTTGTTGAGGAATTTTTTTTTTTTCAGTTTTGTGATCAAATTATCTTAGAATTCAAGTGGAAATCAAATGAGTATTTATGAGTTTCTAGAACCTAATTAAATTAATGAGAAAATGCCCCTTTTCTGAGAATTTTCTAAGATAAAAATTTTATAGGTTATGATAAGATGAAGCTATTCATAAAGTTTCAGGAGGATGTTAATAATTTGATATAAAGGGATCTGCATCACAAACTAATATTAACTTATAATCATACATAACATACACCCATACTCCATTCCTTAAATGCACTATGCAAATCTTCCATTGTCTGAACCTTTGTGAAGGTCAAACTAAACAACTAATCAACATTACTATATTCCATGTTCTTTTTAAAGCTAGTGAAGGAGCTCATAGAAGAGTTCCAGCACTATTTTAGGCAATAGAAGATTTACATGAAGAGTTGTAGCAATAAAGTATGTATAAACTGTGGGTGATGATAAGTAAATATGTACGAAATCACAGTAAAATGTTTTACGACATTAGTCTTGTTATCTAATAGTCACATCTCGTATTTATGGTTCCTGTCAAGTCTGTATGATATATAAAGAAGGAAAACCAATAAATTATTTAATTGAAATATTGGGATACTAGTTGGTTTGTGCGAATAATTCATTCGGTCAGTGAGCACAGTAATATAATATGAAAATTAATATAATAGTATTAATACAAGGAAAAAGTGTTTTATTAACTTTTGATTTTTCTTGGTCACTTTGAGTCATTCATTATAAAAATACTAAACTAAAACATATAAACAAGTTTTAATATGCTATATATTTACTAATAATAGTTTGATTGAATAATTTTGTGTAGAGAACTTGAAAAATTTTCAAATTATTATGTTGTACTTAAGTATTATGTAAGTCTAATAAAATTATGTGTATACAAAGCTTGTATTAAAAAGAAATACTACATAAAACCTCCTCCTCTCTCATTCATAGAAACGTAATTTCTAAAATAACAACAAAGATTTCAAAAATAAAATCTTAAGTCTCTTAACCTTTAGTTGGATGCATCTAATCTGCAAAATGAAATACCTAGTTTTATGTTAATATAAGTTTTTTTTTTGCAAAAAATGTGTACAGAATATAATAGAACTTTCTAATATACTTTTAATTATTTTTCCTTATTGCAATTTTTTTTTTTTTTTTTTTTTTGTGCTTCTTCAAATCTGAAGGTTCTTCAAAGCTTTATATTCATGCAGAAAATCAAAAAATGTTTTGGGAATATTTAAAATATTTTCTCAGTATTTTGAACTCAAATTGTTTCAAAAGATTTGTTGTATCTAAACGATTAATTTGTGCCAACAAACTTGAAAATGGATTGAGATTCACTCTAAAAATATTTACAAAATACTAAATTGAATGTTTTTTTTAAGTCATGAAATTGGATATCAGTCAGTACAGTAATAAGAACAAGGATTTCACCAAAATTAAAATAAACAAAAAACAAAAATAAAACATAAATAAAATAAGCTGAAGTAAGCCCGATCAATCAATGAGTATGAATAAAAATAAAAAAGTTTAAATAAAGGCAAAATAAAAAAATTAAAATAAAAAACTAATAAATCTCTTGGGGTTTAATAAGGTTAAAAATGGGATGGTTTCTGTAACTACAAATCAAGGACATGTATAAAAGATGATTATTAAAAAATTACAATCAAGCATCAGCCTTTTAAATACATTAATTAATCGAGCTCCCTTACTTATTCCTGTACCTCTCTTGATCCTCTCACAAGTATTGTAGTTAGATCCAGGAACCGGTGGCAGTTTCCTGTTTGGAGGGGGAATGTAGCCGAGTTCATCGTGCAAATCTGGGCATCTCTTGTCGATAGTATTTCCTCCGACCATTGATTGGTTATAAACAATGTCATCTGAAATAATTATATAATAAGATATTGTATAATAATAAGTATTTTAATTTTATTGCATGATAATATTATGTTTTTTAAAGGAAGGAAATGGTCCAGGGTGGCAGTCATAAATAGGCTAAATAGTGACAAAACTATTTTTATAAAAAGCCAACGTTTCGACCCGACTTTGCAGGTCTTCTTCAGAGAGGTGTGTTCAGCTAGGAAAACTGAACTGAAAACTCCTAAGTGAAACTCCTAGCTGAACACACCTCCCTGAAGAAGACCAGCAAAGTTGGATTTTAATAAAATAGTTTTGTCACTATTTAGCCTATTTATGACCGTCACCCCGGACCATCTCCTTCCTTTATAATGCAATGGTCAACTATTAAATATTCATTATGTTTTTTAATTATTTTATGTATATTTACTGAAATTTATTTATTTTTAATTAATAATAATTTACCAAATGTAAAGAATAACAATTTTATAACATCAAATTCAATATTATAATGGCTAAAAACAGAAGATGTACAACAACCTAAACAGCAACGAAAGTCCAAGAAAATTGGACAACTCAAACAGTCAATATAAAGTACACTGTCTATAGTGTTTCTATAGTAAGAGTTTAGTTTAAAAAGTCAGGCTGCTAACATCTAGTTTAAAGCTAGCTCAAAAGTGAATTTTATAGTGAGGTTATCACTAATAATATCAGATTACATGGTTTGCAACTAATTTTCACAAGAGATTTAGTATCAGTGATAAAGTGTAATTATATTAGTATAAACAACAATGTAATTTAAATTGTAAATTGTTAAATTTATTGTCCTTAATTATCAAAACCACATGAAAAACGTTTTCAGCAACTTATTATTGAATAATAATGCAAGAAACTTTAAAATTCTTTTAAACTTCTTTAATTTATTTTTCATCAACTCATACATTCGACAACATTTAGGGCTTACTTTGCAAATTTGAAAAAATTAATGAAAGAAGTTTTAACGGGTTAAACTATTTTTCTCAGACATTGTTATACGATAGTAACATATTAAAAAAAAAATTTGTAAAACAAACAATCTTATGAACATAAAAAAAATATTGTTTTTATCTATCTATCTACATTGCAATCTAATCCAATATTCAATGCAACTAAAAAAAAAAAAAAAAATTGACACACGAGATCAGTAATAGTATTATGCTTGTTTTTATTTTGGAAAAGCAGTAGATTTTAATAACTACAGTTTTTAGTTTTTCAAATTTTCAATTAATAGCTTGAATTAATTTGCTGTACAATTAACAAATGAAAACAAAATTATACCTCTGAGCCTAGTTTGTGGAGGCCCTCTAGATCTCCTTGCGACAGCAACACAAATTACAATTATACCAACAAATATTACAACAATGGTGGCAGATACAGGAACTACGATATTCAGATCGATCCATTTCGGGATCCATGGGAAGTACTGGTGGACATCCACTGGAAGACCTCTTTTCGGCGGTGGTACAGTTCCTTAAATAAAAATTAAAAAAAAAAAAAATTGTTTACCTTTATGTGGTGATCCTTTTCCACGAAGGAAGCAAACTACAATAATTGCTACAATGATGACAAGCATCGCTGATATGACTGGTACGACAAGGTTAAGGTTGGAAAGGAGAATTCTGATTGGGGAATCTGGGCCGTAGCCGGAGTCTGGAACTTCCCTTGCTGGTGCAATTGTACCTGAAACACCCCATTGCTCTCTTAAATTATCGTTTAACACAAAATTATCTTTTTAAAACAAAAATTTAATAACTATTACAATGTAAGAAAGATATTAAATACCACTAAAAAAAAAAAAAAAAACAGCAAAATGTGGTGTTCAGGTAATATTATTTAATGAAAATTATTCAACAATATCTTCATAAAAAAAAAATTAAAAAAGTTGATAGTAAAAATATACAAGGGAAGTTCCCACTGTCACAAATTACTACATCGCTTATAAATATAAAAAGAAAGAGAGAAAGAAAGAAGAGGAAAAGAAAAAGATGAAAGAAAAGTAAATTAGATTTATTAAGAATAATAATAAAGTCACCCAAGCTTAAATATTTTAAGACATAACAATTATTTTAATTTTCTAGAATATATTTTTAGATCATGTATGATGGTTTCACAATCACATGAAATAACCCATAGAGGAGATAAATTTAATTCAATCTATGTATTATGTGATATTGAAAAAATTTCCCATAAGGGTATAAGATAGTGGCACAATTATCGTTTAATCGACGCTACAATTATGTAGGGAGTCGCCGAGTTATAATATAATAAAAATAATTAATAATTTTATAATAACTAGATGAAACTAGAATGAATAATAAAATAAGTCATTCTCTTATTAAGACTAAAGAATTTTCAAATGAGTATTGTGATTGGTTAATCTTTTTTAAAGCTTGAGAACTTAGAAGAGCTTAGAACTCCACCAGCTGGTTTTATCATACCTGCAAAACCCCATTTCTCTCTTGAATTATCATTAACAAAATAATTTTTTTTTAATTATATAATTATAAAAATGAAATTAATATATTAAAAACTACTTTAAAAAGTCTATTAAAACTGTTTCTCTCAATTTATGACATGCATCAGAGAAAAATAAACCTTATTTATTCTGAATAAAATGAAAAAAAAATATATTATTAAATTTGTTCAATTTACATAAGTATGCTAGGAATGGACCCTAAAAGTGTCAATATTAATGTTGATTGCAGTTGATTTTAAAAATATTAAAAAATCAGCTGATTTTGAATATAAGAAAAGATAAAGCCTTCTGGATCCCCCGTATGAGTTAGTAAACATTTGATGATGAGTGTTGGAGTAAACAATGATTTAAAATCCTAACAAATTTAAACCTTGTTTACACGATGGTATTTTCTGTGTTTTGGAAATATTGTGACGATAATGCTCTTGTTTTTGATAAATCTTACATTCTGATAAAAAACAATTAATATTTGATGAATATGAACAGCTGACTGAAAACTACACAACTAAAATGACAGCTGATGGCATGGTTATTTTAACAAAAGTGACTCGTCTTTAAAAAAAAATATTAATAAATCTAGAAATTAAATAACAATAAAAAATCTAAATATCTAATTAAAGAAATTTATAATAAATGCTAAAAAAAAAACTAAGTTAGGTATATAGTTTTCATTCCTCCTTTAACTTTAGAATAATACAAAATTGAATTGGATAAAATGAAGTTAAGATAAAATTGAAACACTATTTTGGCTAAACAACAATGTTTTATGGTAAAAACACTGTTATAGTTGAATAGGGTAGATAATAGATATCATAGTTCACTGGTAAGAATATGTCTATATATGAGAGTAGTGCGACAGGTACTACCAATCACATAAAAACCGACAGTGGGATAATATTGCTAGGATAACAAATGTCATACTGTCTACACCATGACTGTGATTGACCCAGTTACTGTCATCATGGAAATGAGGCTTTAATTTAGGACTTACAGCTTATTGTGACCAATTCTTTATTCTAGTAAATGCTGAGCTGAAGAAATTAATTTAAAACAAAAAATCTTAAAATACATTTAATTAAAAGATACTATTAACAATATGGCATCGCATAAACAATGATTTTAATTTGGCAATTTAAATGAAAATCAATTTAAAGCTATAATAATGTTGACAATATATCAAAATGAAGCTATTTTTTGTTATTTAACATTATTAACACTATAAGTTACTTTAAATTGATTTTTATATTAATTGTTTAATATAAATAAAGAAGCTGGGCAATGACATATTAATTAAAATAATATCTCACCTCCAGTGATGGTCAAAGTTGCAAATTCGTACTCAGCGACAGCGAAACCAGCATTATTATGTGCTGTAACTCGAAGATTATACCAGGTTGCTGGATCCAAGTCAAGAACAACGAAGTTACCACCAGGTTTCACATTATTGGATACTTGATTCCATTCAGTAGATATTCTGAAAATAAATAATGATATAATGAAAATGAATCTATCAACAAGAAAATAATTAAAAGTAATTTATTTGATTTGAATAAAATAGTTTATTATTTATTTTAAAAAAAACACTTTGTAAAAAATGATTGCGATAATAATAATTGCAACAAAAATTGTATTTCTCAATAAAAATTAAACTAAATGTTAAATAGACTAATAAACTAAATTTTCTAAGATTACTATGGTAATTTATGATTGACGAGTAAATTAATGTCAATATCTCAACATATATTGAACTAAGGGTTTTTCAGTCCCAATGATGCTTAAACTGGAAAACATTGACTGTTAAGTTGTTTCCACCATATTTCTTTTAATTTCTTTTTTAGCAAGTCATAATTTCTATTTTTTTCCCTCAAACAAACTTAAAATTCTTTCCACCCAAATATATACAAAATAATACCTAATACATGTAACTACTAGTTTTATTTATATTATTTAAAAAATAGGTTAACGCTTTGACTGCAAAACCTCATAAAGAGTGTTTCTTCCTGATGGCGAGTCCCAAAATAAAAAATAAAAAAAGTTTGAAAAAACAGATTTTTTTTCCCTTTAAATTTTTTAAAATACTATTTTGAGACACCCTGAAAAATAATAGCTTTCAAAAATGCATTTAAAAACTTTTTATTTAATTGTGGGTTCAGAATAAATCTTAATTATCTGAAATCTAAACTGGGTACTTATTTAATAGCAGGTAGCGTCCGACTGCTATCTGCCAAAGTTTATAACCTTAGCACTGATAAGCTCTTCGTATTCATATTTGTTGTATTATATTCATATTATTATATCTTCGTATTCATATTTATTGTATTGTATTGATGTGAACAAAAACAAAAGCAAATGTAATAATACAAAAATACTTTTATTTTACAACATATATATTAAAATAGACCATAACATTATAAATATATAATTAAAAATTTTAATGCCAGGCCCTCCAATTTTTTTATTCGACCTGTATAACATGGCATGGGCACAAACTTCTCTTCAAAATTTGTTCCACGTTACGATAGTTGCGTTGGATAGTTTGAGCTGCTCTTTTCCCCACTGTATTGTTGTTAAATTATGGGACCACCCATAAATGAATTTTAAAGCCATTAAAAAAGAAATCCTCGACCTCTCTAACCACGTTCCTTTCCTTATAGAAACGGTTTTGTTACAACTACGGAAGCATCTCGATTTAATCTTCCCGGCGAACTTCATTTGTTGACCTTCATTACAATATTTTACCTTTGCAAATATCCCGGCGTCTTGAAAATATTTTATAGCCTCTTCTTCTGAAGACGGCAATTCCCAATGTGACAACATAAATACTTAAATAACACTAACTCAGAGCTAACACAAGAAATAAAAAATAAACAAGTGAATAACTTAGATAAGATGAGATAAGGGAGGTTATGTGAAATGAGATTAGATAAGAAGGGAGGTTTTGATGATATCCGCTATTAAATAAGTACCCTAAACTGAATAAATCAGAATTAAGATGAGTTTAACTAATAATTACTATTTTTTTTTTTAATTAATATTTATACTTACTTCTTCTTGTGTTCAACGACGAAGTAAAGCATGGGGCAACCTCCATCAGACCAAGTGCTCAAATGTAGGGTTATGCTGTTAGTCGACACTTCAATAAATCTGCTAGCGTCTGGAATAATCGGTTTGGATCCCTTTGTTCTGGTATTAAGGATGTCGGATTCATCTCCAGTTCCAATGCTGAATATAACAAACATCAAAAAAATTAATATTAACTTGACTATATCGTTTATGTAATATAAATCATCATTATATAAACATATTCGAACAAAAATATAAAATTAATGAAATTGGATAATTGCAGGAATTTTCTATTTTTTATTTGTGTAAGTGACAACAATAAAAACACAAAAAGTAGCAAATTTTTCTGATGCATATTTGCAAAGATAATCAGAGGTAAAAAAAGTGGAGGGAATAAAGCAATGTTGAGTGGAGACTCGGCTACATTATGGTCTGTTACCATTAAGCTTAGGCATCTTATACCTTTTAGACTACAATAATATTTCCAGCATCAAAACTTCCATTCAAGAAATATCCTTGCGCTCCATCTCTGAATAGAAATTTTTAGTTTAAAATATATTTTATAAGCAAGTTTATAAGGCTAAGAGAAGTTTGATAGGATCGTGTTCGGCAGCTATAAACATCATATCATGGTGTACACTGTCCTCACCCTTGGTTTCCACCATACTTCCAAGATGTACTGTTATTCCAAGTTTTAAACTAAATATAAAATTTTTTTTTATTATTTAAAAAGTGTAATCTCAATCATATATACATTACTTATTATTTGAGTTCTATTTCAGCTCAAATTTATATGATTTTTTTTCCATATAAGTATCCAATTAATAATTTTTAAAAAACTTTTAAAATGTTATAATTTAAAGTTATAACTTCATTTAAATTGAAAAAAAAAAAAAAAATGCTGCAAATTATTTCACAATGGTCAATTATTTCCAAATTATACATCTAAAGTAACATTACCTTCCGAGTTACAAAGAGAAAAAAAACAAAAGGTAATTTCAATTATTGGACTAAACTGTTTTTCTTTAATCATTAGTAATATGCTAAAAAAAAAAATAGCATTAGTTCAGTAACACATTCAAAATTTAAAAAACAAACATAGGATATAACATTTGGAGTAGAATATATAAAAAAAGCCGGAGACCATATCTTTGCTCCTAATTGTCCGATTTTAACGATTTTTTTTTTTTTTTAGGAAATTCTGTAAACTATTGAAAAACCAATACATCAACAAAAAAGTAAAAACTATTCAGAATTTAATTTTACCTCCCCTCGTAACTTTTTTTCCAGCTTCTTTTCGTTGAAGTATGTTATATAGATAAATTTAAAGGGCATCGAGAAAATGACTTTAGCGAAGTTTCATTGAAATCTGTACATTTGTTTAGGAGCTACAGTCTATAGCAATGCAGGTTTTTCGGCCGCCATTTTGAAAGTTAAAGGCGGAGAGTAATGTCGATGAAGGAGGATCATCCTCGGGTGACCTCTGGTTTTATATCAAAATTTGAAAAAAATCGGTCCAATAGTTTCGGAGATAATGCGCGGACAGCGGACGGACAAAATTTTTTTTATTGTTTTTCGAATTCTACGCGTCCTGAAACTTGAAACCTCAAATTATGAGAGGGGTTTAAGTTTTTGAATTTTTTGGTCGATCAGAATGGTTGATTATTGAAAATAATAAACCAAAATTCACCTGTTATATGCAGTGACAGAAATCATGTATCTAGAACCACACCACAAGTTCTCAAGAGTATATTTATGGATGGTAGGTGGAAGTTGGGCAGTTTCCCATTCGCCGAATTCTGGTTTGTATTTGACAGTGAAGCCGTGGACAGGTTCAACATCTTGAGGATTTGGTTTGATTTTCAGAGTGATGGAGTTGGTTGTAGTTGAAGTTAAAGTCACTTGAGGCATGTGGGGAGGAGCTGAAACAAAAATTTATTTATTCAAGAAAATATTCTTTTGCAAATTATAATTCTAAGTTTTATCCTACTTGAAAGTCTAATAGCCATTATTAAGGCAAAACGGTACAGGAAGGATTATTAAAGGCACTCATATTATTTCTAAATTCTTCATTAGCTTAACATTTCAGGTTTGGTTACCCATTTTCAAAAGAAATTAACCTTCTTCATTACATTGTCCAATAAACTATTATTTGCCTTTCGTAAATTTATCATATTTTATTAAGTAATATCTAATAGTTTAATGAATTACATTCAAACTTGAAATTAATAAGAAAAATTATAAAAGAAAAAAGATTGCTGCTTTTGAAAAAGAGTAGCCAAATCCAAAATATTTAAGCTGATAAAGAATTGAGAAATAATATTAGGTAGGACCTTTAATAAAACTTCCTATACCAATTCTGAATTATAACTTTTATTATTATATAAAATGGAATAGAACTTTCAAAGATAGATGAAACAGTTAAAAAAAAAAATAATAATCTTGACTTATAGGTTTCACTAATTATTTCCCCAAACATTCTGATTTGGGAAAATAATTAGTGAAACTTATAAGTCAAGATTATCAAGTTTTAAGTTATTTGAGATGTGACAACTTTCAACTCAATGAAGTTTATCAAATTATATTTTTTAGTTTTTATTTTATTAAATACATTAAGAAATTTCCTGTTATTAAAAAGTAATGGTAAATATAATGCAGTGCCTCATTGGGTTAATAAGTGTATCAAGATCACATGATAACACAGTTGTTGGAATGTTTAAATTAGCTGAGTGCATCTGTTTTTCCGATAGGTTAAGTAAGGTTAGATTTCATACAAGGCGCATGGGTTGATAAAAGAATTCTTGTATCTTAATATGATACAAGATAATTAATAAATTGTATTTATTAATAGGAAGGTTTCGAGATCGGTAATCTTTGTATGCTTTTGGACACACTCGGTTAGCTCTGATATTCTAACAGTGTGATCATGTGATCTTGGAGCATCTGTCAACCCGCGGTGTACAACTATATGTTTATTAAAGAAATATTATTAACTTTAAATACTTGAATTATTTGTATTTTAGTAATATTCTGATGAAATTAACATAGATGAGAAAAAAAAGCTCAACAAGAGACAGAAATCGAATGTTAGGTCCCGATTTGATAAATCCAACCACACTGCCTTCTCCTTAAATTGCAGGTAAAAACAGAACCGTCAAGGTTTTGGAAATTTTGGTATGACAACAGAAAAATACTTAATGACATCCAAACACATACTAGTACAGACTACACTTATGCCACCCCTCTAGTTCCCACCACACATCCAAGAGCACAGTTATTTCAAGTATTTAGTGAAATATGAACATTTTTTTCATTATTTGAAAATAGCAATGTCAATCATACATACGTTCTTTATCACTTATATTCTTCAATTTACTTCAGGGCAGTATCTTATTGAAATAACTGAATAAAATAATAATCAAACCAAATTGAAACTGAAGAGAAAAGTAATACATACCAAGGATGATCAAATGATGTGTGACACTGTCATGACCAAAGGAGTTTTGTACATGGCAAGAATATTCGCCTGCATCGGTACGAGTGACGGATTTAATTAGAAGTGAGCCTTCGGGTAGTTGTTGCATTCTATCATTGGTTTCGAAAGTAACTCCCTTGATCTTCCAGGTGATATCAGGAGTTGGTTGGCCGACTGTAAGGCATGGGAGTTTCACATCTTCGTGGTAGGTTGCAGTGAATTTGCTGTCGAATGAGGCGATCTTAGCTGGAACTGTAATAAGAAAAAAAAAAAGTTAAAGTATGATGGCTTTGGAATGATGTAAGATAACATAACATATAATACATTGTACAACAATTAAAGGAATATTTGTTTATCTGAATACCTTTGTTATTTGGTGTCAACACAACAGGTTTAGATGGCCTTCCTTCACCTACGTTAGTAGAAGCAGTGACCCAAAATTCATATTTTTCATCTTTATTCAAACCAGAAGCTTCATAAGTCATTTGGTAAGGTGGTATTTTTTGGCTTTTTACATCATCCTGGAAACATAAAATCACAATTAAGAGATGTTGGTATTAAATAGTAAATTAAAGTGAAATATAATAATTATACTGTTAACATACTACATAATAAAATAAATCTCTAATGTTTTTAGGTTTTAATATAGTTTCACTAGTCCATGATGGTGCTCGCTTTCAAGATCACTCATAGTGCACTACTCCTAGATTCCCGAAAATACCTGAATGTGTCGAAAAGAAGATGGAGCTAACCAATTCTCAACTCTTGATAGTAAATTACCCGCCATTTTAAAAGAAAAATTTGTACTCAGTTGATAATAATATGTAAAATTAATATAATAAGTAGAATTTCGATTTGATAATTGGATTATTAACTACAAACAACAATTAAGATGCTATGAATTTTCTCATATATCTTATAACTTTATTATGCATATTTTTTTTTTTTTTTTTTTACATATTTTATTAATATTCGTATTTTATCTGTTCTATGCTTCTTCATATCTATCCATGAGCAATTAACTACAATTTAATTTTAATAGGCTTGATATAATCACGAGTTTTTTCTATACCGGTTTTATTATTATAAATATTTTCTCAACATCAATCAGTTAGGGATGAGGATTTCAATTTATTTTTTAAAAGAAGATATTTTCCTTATTAGATGTTTTATTATTTTATATTAATGTATTAAAAAGGTTGAAATATAACCTAAACAACACATATAAGTCAAGATAGCTCTATTGGTTTTAAAGATGATTGTCAATACTCGTCTACTTTCAGCAATCGTCAGGAATCTGAGAATAGCATGATCTGGATGATCTTGAAACAATCCGCCATCTTGAAGTAGCAAAACAGAATTAGTATGTGTATTTGTAATAGAATGAATAATAAAAAATGCTTACAGCTTTCTTTCCTTTGGACTCTTCTTTAATGTAGACTGCATACTGAGAAATGATGCCGTTTGGTTGAGATGGAGGCTTCCAAGAGATCAAAATAGATTCTTCAGACATGGCCAGGGCCTTAATAGCAGTTGGAGAATCAGGAACTATAGTAACAAAACAAAAGTTAAATATTACTTACAATATAAATATTATATTAAATATGAAAATTATTTAATAAAAAATGTTCTCACCATCTTGATCAGTCTGGCAGTGAATAGGAGCAGATCGGACGCCATCACCACCAGCAGTGTATGCCAATACTTGCATCGTGTAGTTTGTGTATTTCTTTAATCCATGAATGATAGTTTCGCTGGCTTGTGTTATTTTGGAATCCTTGGATTTCTCATCTATGAATAAAAAAAATATATAAAATTTCAAAATACAACAAAATCAAAAAGTTTTGATGACATCCACAAAGTCATAAAAATATATATACAATGGTGACAAGGACTGATAGCCAATAGAAATGAGAGATCTATGTTAGAGGGGAGCTTTCATAATTAAAAAAAAATACTGCATGCTCTGTATTAATTATAACACAGTTGGATATAAGATAAAGGTTTATATGGATATAAATTTAAATAAGTAGATAATTTTTTTTTTTAGATACAAATAGTATAATATGGTTCAAGAATATTGTACTTACCATACCAAATTTCAGTAGGTCCGTAAATTACTTTATAGCCCCTGATAACTCCGTTTGCTGTAGCAGGATTCGGTGGGTTCCAAACAATCCTGATAGTTTGTGATGTAAGAGTAGTACAAGTAGGGTCCTTTGGTGGTTCGTTAGGTGTACCTTCGGCGGTATACTGTTTGATTTCTTCGGTAGTTGGACCAGCGCCGAGTTTGTTGAAAGCTTGGACAACAACTGAGTATTGCGTGTAAGTTCTAAAATCAATTTTTAAGGTATATGAATATTTAGCACTCAATAAAGATGAACTTATATTATTATTATTAAACTTTTTCAACAAAAATCATAACAAAAATATATATTAAATATATCCAACTCAAAACTTTAGGAGTTTTCATGCAACCAGTAATAAGTATTTTAAATCTCTTAAATGTGTAAAAGTTGAGAAACTTATTTAAGGTAAGTGTATTAAATATAGCTGGTTTATTATTTTTGTTTTAAGTGGAATGGTATGTAAGAAAAGATATGAAAGAAATACAGAAAACATTGGGCAAAAGGGGATAACAATCAAGTTCAAAGGTAATAATGGTTTTTTGTTTTTTTTCCCAAATTTCCTTATTAATTTATGGTTGTCATACTTTGTATATTAAACATTGTACAAATATAATCAATATGTGAAGCCTAAATTGTCATAGGTGGAGGGTTGATTTAAACTTATTATAGCTAATAATACTTAAGCATGACCTGGAATCGTTTACTAAAGATCCATGATGACTGTTTAGCACCATAGCACATTAAGCATCCATCGCAAGTTACATGAATAACACTCTTTTAAAATTAAAATTAAAAATAATATATAATTACAATTAAAATGTTTTTCTATTCAATTAATTTTTTTTTAACCATACAACATAAATAATTTATAGAAGATTTAAATTCTAAAATTACAAATATGGGATAGAAGATTAAAACAATTTTTTTTTTTTGTAATTCACTGATAACATTTTAAAATAAAATGAGATCACAAATGACAGTAATTAATAATTAGTATAATCTCATGGCTTGGAAATGTAAGAACTATGTTACTTGTTAAAAATTCTATTAATGATAACAAAGATAGGAGAAAGCAGAAAATCATAACCATTTATGGAATGTATCAACAGATTACCACCACCATCTTGGAGAAATGAGCGATGATAAAACAAATGGATGGAATGAGTTCCATCCCAACTGCTCCATTAAAACATTTATTAGTACGATAAGACAATTGTAACCTAAAGATAGTGATGTTTGTCATACTTAAGTGAATTAATCAGTAGATGGTGCTCCTTGCCTTCTTCCTTGCTGAACTCAACGGTCTCGAACAGGTAAGGTTTGTCTGAGCTAGATAGTTTGTAGCCGACGTAATAGCCAAGGATTTCTCCGTTCCAGTTTTCTTTCTCTGGAGGATTCCATGTCACTTTGAGTGTTACCTGATCCATTGCTTCTACTTTCACATTTGTTGGAGGGCCGCTTGGAGCTGAAAAAATAAAGAAGCTATTAATAAATAAATAATAATCTTAGAAAGAATAAAAATTTCATTATACATCTTTCACTTACCACACTACTTTTAGTAGAAATAAATATTTTCAGATATACGGAAGTGAAAGTTAAACAAAAATATATAAACGGTAGAACATATGTTTTTTTTTTATACAGCCTTCTGATGTATTGTGTTCATTTTTTTATACGACAGTATTTTTTTAATTTAATAAATAATTAAGTGCCACAAAATTATTTTGGTCTGACAGGAGTGCCAGTGATGAAAAAGGCAGCTATATTTATTTATATTTCATAGTGGGCATTTTTATTTATTTAAGCACAATATATAAACAACTTTTAAACTTTATATTGATGTTATCTCTATAATTAAATATTAAATAATACCACAACAAGCATTTACGAAAACCGTACATGTATATGCATATAGTATTATTGGAGCCCATGTTATATTCAGCATGTGGTATGTTCAGAAGCCAATCCTAAACATTTGAACAAGCACGGGTGTGGGTTTGGGTTTCTTTGGTTCAACAATATTATTCTTTTTTTTTGCTTTAGTTAATAATCAAATTTTTTCATAGTTTATATCTTAGCATTTTTTTAAATAAAAGGTGCTATGGAGGAAGAAATTTTGAAAATCGACATTTAAGCAATGTTAGACTGTTTCAATGAAAATAATACCTACTTAATTTTTCACTATATACTAAATTTCACCAAAATCATTGATATAAAGTGCCACTTTCGATTGGTCGATTTTAGCGAAACAATTACTATAACATACCAGACATATACCTACAAAATGGTGATACAATATTTACCTTCTTCAGCAGTAATGATCATGACAGGCTCTGATGGTTCTGATGTACCGACATCGTTTTCAGCGACAACTCTCATATGGTAAGTAGTAGCAGGGCTTAGATTCGGAACGCTTTCCATGGTTTGGTGTCCAGGAACCATAACTCGATTAATATCATTGTCCCACTTGCCTGTTAAATGGAAAATATAAATATATAAACTATTTAGTTTAGTTTAATATTTTTATTTACAGCTGATAGAATGAGAAATAAAGCTGAAAGAAATTATTGGAACCAAGTTCATTCAATACATGAAGCCAATAAACTCTTTGCCTCTGATCTAATTGCCAGATTGAAATAATTTTTAAACTATATTTTATTATCTGATCTTAAATAAAATTCATATTTATTTCACGGTTGATAATTTAGCGATTTACCCATTTTTGACAGCTATTGCAGGTCATAAGCCCACTTTGTTCGATTAATATGACATTAATAAAAATTAAGAAAAGAAATTACCCTTTGAAACTTTGTATTCAATCAGGTAGCGTTTGATTGGAGAGTTGCCATCATAAGGTGCAGACCAGGACAATTGAACAGTTCTTCCTGACTTATCCAAAACTTTCAAACCATTAGGAGCTTCTGGAACCTCTGTAATAAAAATAAATAATTTAAAAATAAAATATAAATAATAATAATGCTATGGGAATGATTAACTGCAACAGTTAAAAAGCAAGCTAATCTAGTTTTACTAGTTCAGTGAAAAGAAAATAGCTGCTCTGTAGTTTTCCCAGAAAGGAGAGGAGACAAAGGATTTTGTTTTAGCAAGCAGTTGTTGTTTGACAGAGTCACTAGTTGTTTGGAATTACAAGAGAGAGGATTTCCCAGGGAGCTTGAGTAGAGTAGAAGAAAGTGTCACTATTTTGGAAGTTGCGATTGGCAGAACATTGGAAAGCATTTGAAGACAAATGTATTTAGTGCAACAAAGGAAGAAAAAACAGTATCTGTAGAAAAAAGGTTAGCTTGCCAATCCACACTTGACTTTATTTTAAAATCAGTGCTTAATTTTAGTATAAATAGTGTAAATAATAATAGTTTGTCTGAGTGTTTTGATCTGATTGTCAGTAATAAATACCTCAGATAGAATAATTGTTAATTTCAGTTTATTATATTAATTTCCTTATAATTTCGTTTATTATTTAACAACCTCTTATTTCTTTTGGAAGTAGCCAAATAATATTGAAGTGATCTTCTGAGGTTACATCATTTGTAAAATATAAGAGAGATTACAATATTTATGTAGTATTTATTTTTTCCTATGTTTTGATCTTTGTTATAGGTCAGTCTTCTTCAGGATAAAAAGAACAAGGTTACAGGATACAAAAAATTTACTATTGATTGTTATAATATTCAAACCAATCAAAATAAGAGTTGATATTAACTTGTTTCAATTAAAATAATTCACAAGTTTTTTGATGCAGTTATTTTATGATCCAACTGTATTAAACACATTATTAAGAAGATTTCGGAATTGAGATCACGATATTTTTATTTTGATGTGGGAATAAAATAAAAATAAAAAATCTGAAAATGAATACAACGAAGTATCCCTTTTTCTGTAGAAAACATCCAATAAATAAAGAGAAACAGAAAAAAAACTTTATTAAAAAAGCATTGTATATGATCACAATCGTACCTTGCACAATAAGAAGTATGCTGGTATCATCACTTCCGAACGAGTTAGTAGCAACGCAGGTAAATAAAGCTGAATCTTCCCTCCCAGTTGTCCTGATACTGAGGTCTGAGAGAACGCCATGAGGTAAAATCTCTTCGCGGATGGTGTACCTGAAGCAAAGGAGATAAATTTAGAAAAATGATAACAAAGATTATTAAATAAATTTATAATTATTCTAATTTAAAAAATGTATATATAACTAAAAAAATAACTCTATCCATCCTAAGGTGGATTTTTTAGGGAAATTTATATCTACAAATATTTAAACTTGGTGTTAGTAGTTGGGTATTTTGCACTGAATGAAACTTAAGAACATTTTTGATGAAGCAACTAAGAACCTTACGGTGAGAGTTACGGTTTTTCTTGAAAACGTTACATTTTTGGGCTTTAATATGTAGGACCTGGGATAGATCTAAGGAACCATACCAGATCAAAATGTCTGTGACAAAATCTTTAAAACACAATTTATGCTGTCTTAAGCTTTTGACTTTAGAGAACTCCCTATTTTTTTAATAGCTTTTATCATAGTTATAATAAGGTTTTATTTTTTGAAATTGGGATTTGTCATTTCTCCAGACATTTAGTGTGATGAATTATACATTAAAATTTATCGCTCCTGAGAGCTCGAAAAGGGATCTATACTAGGAATTTTAATGTTATTTTATTTTTTCAAGAATTTACAATTTAAATGATCACGAACATACCATATTATTTATGGTCTAATATGAAACCAACAAATATTTTAATTAATTACAAATCAAATAGTCTATTTTTAGTAAAATTATTAGATTACCTGATATCACTTTTGGGGTCCAAACGCTTGTTATTCATATTCCAAATAATTCCAATAGGTTTCTCTCCTTTGGCCTCGCACTGTAATACTGTTGGGTCGTTAATCCTTGCAGTCTGGTTTCTATTTTTAACATCGAATTGTGGTGGCGCTAAAAAATATAACATTTTATTATTAAATTATCGTCCAATTCTATTATATTATAATATTAATATATAAAAAAATTAATACATATTATTTTATTGATAACATACCCTGAACACTTATCATTATCACTGCAGATAGCCCAGAGCCGATGCCATTGACTGCTTCGCATAAATAATAACCTTCGCTTGTTTTCTGGATATTATGAATCAACAATGTACCTTCTTCAACTTTAACATCTGGATTGTTTGGTTTTAAATCTTTGTAATCACCAGGTGAATCCCCTAAAAAAGAAAAAAACAACTAAGTAATGTGCTTTAGACCATAGAAGTGAAAACATCAACATGGCAATAATATGTAATAGAAATTATAAATAATAGCTCATTATAAATAGGATGAAATGCTAAACGTTTCCTTCGCTTACAGTATGTAGGTCCGATTCTTAGTTTCTGTGATATTTTAATCCATATCTTCCATAAAACTCGTTATCATTTGTTTTTCGACACTATTTTTTTTCCTTTTCGCCTCTCTAACACTGTGTCATGTTAAGAAAAAATTTTGAATAATAGTCCATTACAGAGAGAATAAAACGTTGAACAGTTCCCTCGCTTACAGGTCCGATTTTTAGTTTTTGAGATATTTTAATCTATATGCAAAAACACTTCAATTGGATCTACTCCAGCAGTCTTTACCTGAGCATTACACATCGGAGATCTGATGGCTCAATCTAATTCACTCTCCATAAAAAAAATGCAAAACGTGCCTAATGAAGTTTTCAGTTAAAAAAAAATCAGGATATCTTTCATTGATAACATATGAATGAATACACATCAATAAATTGTAAGGATATTATATAAGATCTCTGTACGGTCTCTGAAATAACTGTAATAAATAGAAAATGTTTTGCTAAGCCAGACGTCATCAGGGGGAAAAAAAATAAGATGATAAAAACGCGTAACAAAGATTTCATATTACAGTCTAAAAAGTACTGCAAATAAATTAAAAAGCATTATTAAAATTTATGATATTGTTTATATAAAATAAGTTTAACAGAAATATTGATAAGAATAACCTACAACTTTTCCCTATTAATTATGATTACAGATATGAATATTAATTACAAGAAAATAAATATTTTCAGTGTTTTTATAATTTCTAATATTATTAAAATTATTACTATTTTTTGGATTAGTCATTTTTAAGCTTTGAAAGAGAGATATGCTAAGTGTTATAGTCTTCTTTTCTAATGATGTCACAATTGGTAAAACATTGTTTGGTTATTAAGCTCTTGGGCTTGTATATTATTCCAATTTTCAAGTTTTTGAAATCCATCTTCGCATTAAATTTTGAAATAATCATTGATGTAGAAGAACTGAAATTGTCGCAGAGTTAAACTGAAATGATATTTTAATACAAGCAATACAACTTGATAACGTATTCTGGGTAGCCTTTATCTACAAGAGTCCTAGTCTTCTAGGAGTGGGTCCTCTTCTTTCCAGATTGAAGTGTGTTGAGCCCAGAGTAGCTTTTCACCAGTACACGTAGTCCTTGTATTACGGGTAGTTCCGCTCCCTCACTAGCTGAGGGAACTCATCTCTGTGAGGACATAGAGACCGGATAGTCTCAAAAGTCTGGCTGGCCCTCAGTGTAATCAAAAGTGGACCAGTTCAAGATATGCTCATCTATCTCTGTTACTCCACATTTGGGGCATAGCAGATCAATGTTTTATCTAAGGCTAAGCAAGCACGAAAACTTCCATTGAGAGACCAAGCAGTCCGGAAGAACCCATTTCACTTTCAAGGGGTTCTGAATGGTAGGGAAACCCTTTTCATAGTTGTCACCTTCTGCTGTTTCAACTCTTCAGCAATTCTAACCCGTATATTTTCCAGAAGAACTGCTTAGTCTTTTCCCCTTTCAAACATCATTTTTAATAACTCTTCTCATAGGATAAGATCCAGAGGCATATCTTCCTGCACTGCATTGTACCTCAAAATACCTAGTATCATCCCATTATAAATAGTCATCGGAGCTAAGTATCTGATATCCCAAAACGTCTCCCCCTAGGCAACTAAGGCTACTCAAAGTTGAGGCCTATTTTCCGTAATATTAAGTAAAATAAAGTACTATGAAGAAGATTAACAACAAATAATAATAAAATAAAATAATAAATTAAAAAAATAAATAATTTTACCTGTGGCTCTCTTCCAGGTAACTGCGGGCCTTGGGAAACCATCGGCTTTGCATTCAACTTTGGCATCGCTACCCTGAGCAAAAGCTTTATCTGTAGGCTCAATAATCCACCTCGGTGGTACTAAAATTGAAATATACACATGAGGCGACCTGTCATATTTTTTTTAAACACTACGTATAGATATCTATTTTATATAGTTCATTTTTTTTTCTTATTTACAAATTTCTTTTTTAGTCAACGAAATTAATTAACTTTACAAAAAACATGAACTAAACTTTTTTTTTTTTTTGATCTATTTACAATTTGTCAATAAAAACATTAAATGATCAATATATATTCCTAAATTATAAAGATGACAGAAATCTACTTCATGAAATTCCATGGGTTGTAATTTAATCTTGTTTAAATAACTCACTAAAAGAAACATTAAATTACTGTTACAAATTTACATAAAAAAATATTATACAAAAAATTAAATAATAAAAAAGATTTATGCCACCTTAAAAATAAAACAATTTCTTGATACAAAGTACAACTAATTAATCAAAATTATTTATTTTATCATATGTGATACATTACTAATATATATTATAAATTAATTTATTACTCAGCTATCATTACATAATCCTTTTGGAAACTATCCTTAGGATTTTAGGTCAATTTGCTACACATTAACATAAATATAAAAAAACGATGACACTTGTATCAGGAAAATGTTTTAAGCAAAACATGTAAGGCTGATTCTGATTTTTAAAATTTTGTTTTTGGTACAAATTTATATGATAATCGACAATAGAAAAATTTGGAAATTTTTTAATAAAACTTTTCTTAAGAAAATAAATTTTTCTTTAAACAGATAATAGATAATTGGGACATTCTTTGCTTTCTCATAATTTTTTGTAGTTTTACTTACCTCCGCTAAGCTATCTTTCCCACTAATCGTGGGCTAAAATAATAGTATGTAAATTCTGAAACCCATCAAGTATTACTTCTCAATTTGCAAAGACATCTATCAATTTGACAGGTATTATTTTTTGTCATTTTAACAGCAGTTTCCAACTGATAAGACTTAAAAATTTATCTATTTAAAACTTGAAAAATTCATCAAATTTTTATTGAGTAGATAATAAACAGTTTCCAATATTCGAAAACTAAAATAACACTGCTACTTTAACTGGTACTTAGGAATTGATGTACAAGAAGTAATGGAGTATATGCAATAATGTAATTTCCGGGTATAATAAAAGTAATAAAACTTTTTGATAAGAGAGGGGGTGCTCTTCTTGATTCAACATCATATTTAGGTTATACATATTTTAGTCACTAAGAAGGAGGTGATTTTATATAGGTGCGGGGGGTGCTTTTAACTCTGCCATTAAACCTCTGGCCTGGGAAAAACCAGCGGCCCAAAAAAGGAAGGAATAGGAGGACAAAAAAAAGTTATGTCCTATATTTGGAGAAGGCTCATTATTATATCAAATTTTGTTGTGAAAAAAACCATAGGCATCTGATGGATTTATAAGTTCATACATATCTAATATTTATAAAGTATAAATTCACATTAAATATTTAAACGAAATCACCATCCTTTCATAGCTGTATAAATATATTTTCAATTTTTTTTATTTTTAGCGAATTGGGACAAAATAATCTGCCCAAATTTCCCATTTCAACTAAAAATACTTTAAAGGTTTAGATTATTAAATTTTATTCTAAAACCTATACTAACTTAATTAGTATAAATTATGATAAAATAGAAACATATATTCTCAATACATTAGTTAATTACTTATTGATAGACCATATATATAAAACTTTTTGAGAAACACTTTGAAATAAATCAGAATCAGACTTCTTTACAAAATAAACATAAAAATAATTATAACATGCAATATCAATTAAAGCAGTGAGTGCTTGCAGTAATTAAGAAGCTCAAAAGGGTCGTGCAATATAGGCTTATGATACAAATTAAATAGCAACATAAAAATAATTTAAAATTAATGAACATTTACCATGCATTTCAATTTCATGCGACATAGAAACAAAAGTTAATTAAAACAATATAAAGTGCAAAGGTAAGGTTAGGGATAAGGGTATTATGTATCCGTAAAAAAAAGAAAGAAAAAAAAGCTCTGGCTTCAGATAGGAAAGGAATAAGAGGGAAATATATGCCAGAAAAAAAATTATTTTCAAAAAAGACGTATTATTTCGTTTGAATTTATCATTAAAAAACGGGCAAATTCTTACGGCTTCCTAATTCACAAGTTTACGATAATTTTTTATACAGTCTATTAAAAACATTATAAAAATATATAAAAAAAAAAAAAAAGAAGAAGGGAATATAGACTTATTTTTGGCCAAATTAGAATGTAAACAAAGCAATTGGAGAGTTTACAAGCATACCAAAATTTATCTGCCAAATCAAAAATTGACAAGCCTTGACATAACAGACAAGGTGGTAATTTGATTATGGTAATTTAATTTATATTACAAAGCATATCTAGCACCTACACATGTCAGCTGAAAAAATGTTAACTATAAAATTAAGAAAATAAGGAATGTTAAAACAAAAAAAAAAATTCTATTTTGCTTCAGTTCTTTTAACAAGTTTATATACTTTTTATCGAATATCCATCAAAATACTTCAAGATTAAAGAGATGACTACATATAGTTTTATGAAGACATATAAAAAAAAACAACATCGGAAAAATTTTCAAGTTCCATAAATGCAATAATGCCGTTGAACAACCGTTAGGTATACCAACTACAGAAACCCTAAACATGCAGAACAGTTAAACTATTTGAATTATTTTATGCACCCTTGACTAAAAGTGGAGTGGTGTGAGATGTGTTTCCCGCAACATTTTGAGCTAAACACGTGTAATTTCCAGTATCGTTTAGTGAAAGATGGGCTAGGGATAGAATGACAGTTGATTCGTCAATGTGCTGTATTCTTCTGTCTTTGGTGTCAGAAATCCTTTCATTGTCTTTGTACCACATTATCTCCATTGGAAAATCGCCTGCTATGACGGTGCACATCACACGCACGTTCAAGCCACCGCTTACAACACCGTTTTTATTGAATATGAACGGCTCTATTTGAGGTAAATCTGCGAAAATGATTTTAATTCTTTTTTTAAAAATACATTTTATTTACTTTTCTTTTAAACAAAAATAAAATTACTTTTCTTTTTTATAAATTAAAAAAAAAATTTCAACAGCTCAATGATAAAAAATTTTAAACATGACAATAAAAATGCAAAAGCTTTTATTACAAATCTGTACATTATCAATCAAGGTGGCACAAGACAAAAAAAGTCTTCAATGAGGAATGAAAGAACACCAAAGCCAAAGGAAGTGTCTCTCCAAGAAACTGGTTAAGTATTTTTAAAACAAAGTATGACAAGATTACAAGTTTACCATGTATCTCAAGATATGCAGAAAATGTTGTCGAGCCAGCTAAATTCTTAGCGGTGCAGTTGTACTGCCCTCTATTAACAGAAGCGACTGATTCGATAAGGAGCATTTTGCCTCTTTTGCCAGCACTCATTGTTGAGACCCCGAAAGAAGACAAATCCGTTTCCCCATTGAAACTCCAGACTATATCCATCGGCAAGTCTCCTTGGGAAGCGAAGCAGTTCACTTGCGCTGACTCTCCAGCAAATATTGGGGATTCCCCAAAAGTGAACGGATCGATCCGAGGAAGAACTGAAGAAATAACATCCTTCAAGGTGTTATAAACGTAATTTCAAACATATTCAGAGACCATAATTTATTTATATACAGTTTAAAAATTTTAAATAATATTTACCAAAAAAATTCAAATCAATTTAACTTTGCAGCAATAATAATTATAGGAGGTGTAAAAGTTGTGTATCATTTTTAAAAAATTACAAAATAAAAACAAAACTTGTTACGCTGAGAGCAATTTATCTGTAAAGGTACTTAAGCAAAACTGTGGTTCGGCATGCTGTATAGGAAAACTCAGCAAGGTTCACACTCGTAAAGAGGGAATATTACCATGGATTTCAAGGTGGGCGGAATAGGTTACGACTCCAGCAGGATTTTTGGCAAAACAAGTGTAATTCCCTTGGTGTTGAGATGAGATTGATTCAATAAATAAAGTGGATCCCTTCTTTCCAAATTTGTTAACGAGAATTCCCAGATCGTCGAAGTCGCTTCCCTTGCTAAATCCCCAAGAGATGTCAAGAGGAGGATCTCCCTCCGATACTAAGCAAGTTACTTGGGCTGCTTGCCCAGCGAACATTGGCGATTCACCAAAAGTAAATGGTAAGATCTTAGGCAGCACTGTTAGACAAAGAGTTTTTATCTTATTAATCTTTTTTTTTTGTTCAAAACCAAACTTAAGTACATAATAAAACCAGAAAAGATAACTAACATTAAAAGAAACAAGAAAATATTTTTGATTAATAAGATCCCAAAAATATTTTATTTTCCCAGTATCTTCGACAAGAGAAATGATGCAGTGAAAATATCAGGAAATCATGAGAAGGCATGTAGAAGGTAAGGAAAGTGCAATGATTTGAAAAAATAAAATAAAAACGATCGGTGATTAACTCCATTGTTTGGTTACCATTGATCTGGAGATCGGCAGAATAATTTGACATTCCAGCAGGATTCTTAACAGAACAAGTGTAGGTACCGGTATGGTGTGCTTTTGCCGCGTCAATTAACATCATACTCAAATTATCCCTAGCTCGTATCGTAGTTACGTCACCATTTTCGGGAATCTCTTTCGTGTTAAAACTCCACGTAATACTAAGTGGAGAATCTCCTTCCATTACCAAGCATGTAACCTGGATGGGTTGTCCAGCAAATATTGGAGAAGCGCCAAAACCAAATGGAATTATTTTTGGAAGAACTATGAAAAAATAAATAAATAAAAAATAGCGTTTTATGTGGGTTATTTTTCTTTCCCAATGATTACATGCAAAGGATGTAATCAAAAGGCAAAATTACAAAAATAAAATGAAATGCGAAAATGAAAGTAAGGAAAAGAAAAAGGTGGAAAAAAAAATAATGGAAAAATGTATGTGATGCAACCAACCAATTAGCTACTTTTATTGAGTAAATTTTTACCATTTATTATCAGAACAGCAGAATATTCGACTATACCAGCCCTATTTTCAGCATAGCATGAGTACTTTCCAGAATGTTCGAAAGTGACAGAATCTATCGAAAGAATGCTGCTTTTCATTCCAATATTAGTCGTCGAAATCCCCATTTCATCCACAATGTTTTCATTTTCAAAGGTCCATCTAATTTTCAATGGAATATCTCCTTCAGTAACTGAACAAAATACTTGAATTGACTGTCCCGCAAAAATTGGAGATTCGCCAAAAGAAAACGGCATTAAACGTGGTATCACTGCCAATTAAAAAAAAAAAGAAAAAAGAAATTAAATAAGTTATACAATGAGACGTTTCATCACATCACTAATTTAACTTTCAACTTCAAGATTCAACGCTAACAATAAGGAAATATTTAACAATTTACAAGTTATGACCTGTACTTGAAAAAAAAGTTTTACAGTAAATAGATCATGGTAAGGATTGTTTCAGGTAATCAGAACGATAAAATAAATAACAATTTAGGCAAATAAAAATTTAAGTGTATAATATATTTTTTTAAATATTTTATTTCTAAATTGTCATAAATCCTAAACTACTTCTTCACTTCTTGGTTGAGGTTTCAGACTCTGTTCATTTTCATGACCTTTTTATATAAAAGCAATTTTACAAACATCCATCAACTTTACATATTTTTATTTTAAACTATTTCTACAATAACCCTATATCCAATTATTTTTATCTTAAATATTAATATATCATATTATTATAAATGAGAAATGCCAATTTTATTTTCAGATTCTTATATTTTTGTAATGTTTTATGTTATTTATCAATTTCATCATCTACATGAATCAAGAACTACAATTTCACATGTAAAACTGATTATTTTTTTTACCACCTTTGAATAAAATAATTCAAAGTTGGTATAACTTTATAATTACACAATAAACAAATTTAATAATAAAATAATTAGGTTTTAATTACAGTAAAAATGAAAAATAGACTAAAATCATTATAAGTGTTCTAGAAAAATGACATATAATCCAAATGATGAAACTAAATTTGCCATTTCTAATTTATATTAATAATGATGCATTAATATTTAATATTAATAATAATCAGAAAAAGGGATATTGTAATGAAAGTTTAAAATTGTAAAATTTTAGGGTAAGTTCCTGAATTCAAGGCTGAGCTCATTGATTGCATTGAAAATTCATCATACGGTTCCTTAACTCATCGATAGAAACCATTGATGGACCTTAACGTGTTCTTTTGTTTATCGATGAGTGGTTCTCCTAGGTGTTTCAACCTTATCAAGGTTGTTATTTATCAATTTACATTTATTATATTTATAATAAGTTTGTTTACTTTCCATATATTTATTTCTTCTTTGAAATTCATTTTTTTTTTTTAATGTGTTTTGTAACCTTCCAGAAGTTTTAACCTTCCATTGGAATTCAGTAGGTCATTGTTGTCTATCAGTGATTGATTTTATCAATTGATGGTTTCCATCGAAGGATGTTTGTAAAATTGTTTTTAGATAAAAAGGTCATGAAGATGAACATAGAGTATTAAATGTCAACAAGGAAGTAAAGTTGCAAAATAAGGGTTATGACATCTTAGGAATAACAAAATATTATTATGAAATTAATACACACATTTAAAAAAATTAATTTGAATTTTTAATAAAGTGAATTAAATTTAAAATCTGCTAATTTATTTATTAAATAAATACTTCTAGTTTTCACAATGTAAATTTAATCAAATAGAGAAAAGAAAAAAAAATTGTCATATTTACAGTTATTCTCATGAGACTGATTTATTAATTTTGATTGGTCATAGAAAGATCGTATTTGTAATTATTGTTTATTATCTATTATATTAATTACTTTTATATTATTATTCAATTAAGAAAAACAACCAGACTGTAACATTACAACACACATAACACAAACCAAACCGAAGCATTATTATAGCCTTATACCTTAGTTAAATTAGCGTGATCTTGTTAAGTTGCTTTGTTTCTTAATCTATTTGTTAGTTACTTGTGATGTGAGAGAAAAAATGTAATAATAATAATCAAAATTACATGCCGTTGACGATCAATTGCGTTGTATGGTTTGTACTTCCAGCTGCATTTTCTATTTTACAAGTGTACTTTCCCCTATGCAGAGGCGAAATTATAGGAATCATAAGAATGCTTGGTACTTTGCCCAATCTTATAAATGATACTCCGGGTGGCATATTCATATAATGTCCATTATATGTCCACGTTATCGTGTACGGAGAATCACCTTTTGCCGCGATACAACTTAAATGAAACTGATCACCAGGAGTTGCAACAATTTCTGACACCATCGGAGCGATTTCGGGCGGGACTGTAAATATGAAAGTAGTGTTTTATAAAATAAACTGGGTTTATTTATTGAGGAACAGGAGGAAATTGGGGTTTATCACAAGTAAACAAAATAAGATAAAAAATAAAATAAATAAAGGTAAAAAATGAAAATACAAAATCTAACATTTAGATAGCTACTAAACATTTATAGCTCTAACCATTAACATAAAGAGGGGCAGTATAGCTTTGAGACCCAGCAGGATTTTTCACAAGACAGGTGTAATTTCCAACATTTTTCGAAGTCAATGAATCGATTATCAAAGCGCTTCCTCGACGCCCGAGTTTGGATACCGATAATGTGTCAGATTCCTCTAATTCCTGACCGTTAAAGAGCCAGACAATTTGTAAAGGCAAATCCCCTTCTGAGACAGTACACTGGAGGGTCGTTGAAGTACCTTCTTGTAATGATTTTCCTCCAAACGAGAACGGCATCAATTTCGGAGCAACTATTAAATAAATAACAAAATAAAGACTAATGCATACTTCAATCTAAATGTTTTTGAAATCTCAATGACAAATTCATGAATTATTCAATTCTAACCTATCAATGGATAATAATTTTTAAGTACTTCATTAAGTCGAATACCTTGATAAAAACATTGAAGAATGTTAGTCGACTGTTCTACATATCATAGGTGATAAATAGTCAGGACACAGACATTTTAAGACTTTTTTGTTGCAGACGTTTCAACCATGTGGGTCATCATCAATGCTGGTAATGCCCTGCTGATGACCCACAGGCTTGGGATGAAGCGTCAGCAACAATAAAAATCTTAAAATTCCTGTATCCTGATAATTTATCATCTTAATAAAAACAAATCAATAATTTAAAAATTTATCCATCAAATAAGACTTAGGTGAATAAAATAGGGAGTTGGAAATTAATGGGAAGGAATAAGAAAGTACATTTAAAGAAAAAAAAAAGCTGCACAAGTAATATGTTTCACTAAACAAACCATTAACGAAAAGTTCCGCAGAGAAAGATGCCTTTCCTGCCCTGTTCTCTCCTATACAAGTATAATTTCCGACATGTTCCCAAGATACTTGATCGATGCTAATAGCACTAGCTCTTTTTCCGATAGAAGAAATAGTAACGTCCGCAGCAGCTAATGGTTTATTGTTAAACTGCCAGGTAATATTAATTGGCAGATCACCAGAAAATATGGAACATTGTGTTGAAACACTTTGCCCTTTTTCATACGGCTCGTCACCAAATGTAAAAGAGTGCATTTTAGGAGCAACTGTGTTAAAAACAAAATAATAAAATAATTTATCAAAGACAAAAGAACAAAATTAAATTTGAAGAGTATCATAAATTAATACCTGTAAAATTTCAAAATATTATTTCTTAATATGGGATCATGACATTTAAATAACTAAAGAAAAAAATCAGAAATAAATTGAATATCTTATTTCAGAAAAAGCCAATTACTACCATTATAAATAAAAAATAGCCAATATAAAAAAAAAAAAAAAAAATAGTACCTTTTATTTAAGACCCGATGAGCCGTATACATTTATTGGATAAATCAAGTAATCAGAACATAATAAGAATACAAGTTTGAACAGAATACAAATATAGTAGAAGTCATTAATAATGTAAGTAGTTGATTTCATTTTCATTCAATTTAAGTTCAATTGTTACATAAAACTTTTAATATGATTTCTAATTGAATTTATTTTATTATTATTTTTTTCATAGATTAAGAAGAAATGAGAAAACCAAATAAATAATGCAGGTATATATGAGTGAGAAGTCATGTAGCCGATTCTATTTTTTTTAAGACAAAAAGCATCAAATACAAATTTTAAAATCCTCCTCAAATTCGTAGTAATTTGAATAAAAAAAAAAAAATTGTAATTATTCGAACAATTTGGATTTATGATTCAAGAAAAATATATTTGTATACACTTATAAAAAATAATACACGATTTCCCAATGGAACTTTACTTCGATTTTTTTTTTTACTAATTTAAAAGGAGATCAGTTTAAAAATGGAAACAGTTTTTAATCAGCCCTATTATGAGAGCTTATAGGTTATGAAATGGAGGAAAATGTTATTGAGTGGCAAGTGTAATATGGACATGCACATTTACTGAGCAAAAGACAAACCATTGACAACAAGTTCCGATGAATGAACATCTTTCCCTGCTCTGTTAACTCCAATACATGAATAAATTCCAGCATGATGGCCGGACACTGACTCGATAGAAAGTGTACTCATCCGTCTACCAGCAGGCATAATAACGATGTCACTATTCGGGTCGATAGTTTTGTTGTTATATTCCCAAGTTATATTTAGTGGGAAGTCTCCTTGAGTGACGGAACAACTCAATGAAGCGAACTGTCCAGCTTCATAAGCGTCACTTCCGAAAGAGAAAGGAGCTACCTTTGGTGCAACTATAAGCATATTTGTCTGAATCAAATTATCTGCATTTGATTGGTTCCTCAAAAGGAAAATTAATAAAAAAAAAATTAAAAAGAAAAGTAAAATAGTAGTTGACCGCAATAATAACAGCTAGAAAACTGTGAGATGGCAGTCAAAATTAAAACAAAAAATAATCGGTAAAGTTTCAACACAATTCGTAAGCATCTTTCAATACTAAAGACAAGATGTAATGAAAATGAAATTTACAGAAATATATAAAATAAAAATAATTATTCTTAATTTTTTTTTTGGAATTAAATGATATATGTTCTTTAAAATTCATAGCGATCAATTTTTTGTTTTGGCAAAATCAACTCAATATTATAGTTAATGTTTCCTTTACTAACCATTGACCCCTCTAATAAAATAAAATACAGAAAAAAATCAACTATATAAAAAAGAAAAAAAAATAGTCCCTTGCAAAAATGATAAAGGACTGATAGGAGAGAAAAAAAAAAAAGACTACATAACTTTTTCTTTCTTAAACTCCAGATTTAAAATATATTATTTTTTTTCAATGGAAGCATCAAATAGTTTTATACTTATACTGTTTTAATTATGACCACCACCCTGAGCACCTCCTAGATAAGACAATAGGAAAAAAAAAAAAAGAATGCAGATCCAATATTTTTTTCTAAAACAAATAAAGAAATTCTGGCCTTTCTAATAAAATGTCTTACAGAAATCCGATTTTGGATGAATTAGAAAAATAGGATAGGAAACTAAAAAGGATTGAAAACACTTAGAAAAAATATATATTTAAAAAAAAAACCAATACAGCTACGAACGGAGACAAATAAGATACCATTAACAACGAGAACAGACGAGTGCTTATCCATTCCTGCCTCATTTTTCGCAATGCACGAATATTCTCCTGCATGTTGCGCAGTGACAGGGCTGATAGACAGGATAGATGAAGTATCCCCTAATTCTGTAACCTTTATACCTAAATATTCGGGTATCTCCTTTCCGTTTAACAACCACTGTAGCGTAACGGGTCGATCAGCTGCAGCTAGCGTACAAGGCAATATGACAACTGAACCCGTATTAAGGGGTACGCTACCAAAAGTAAATGGTTGCAGTTGCGGTTTTACTGCAAAGTAGATCAATTAACTATTAATTTTTTAGTAGATCAATAATCAAGGTGATCATAACCCTAAAATTTAAAAGTAATAATTTTTTTTTTATATATATCTATATGAAACTAAAAATAAAACAAAAAGCTAAGTCAAGAACATTACTCTTACTTTTACTTTTGACAGGACGAATTAAACGTTCATGCTATATGCACACACATAAAGCAAGAAATATATAATGAATAATTAGTACAACTCTTTAGAAGGGTTAAATGATCCAACAGCATGCCCTCTCCTAAATGGTTTTCTAATCTATAAGAACATATTTTCAGACTTTATATAACGTATAACATCGATTCCTAACCGGAAACCAAGAGAGTCGCAGTGTATTCAGCAGATCCTGCGGCATTTTCAGCAGTGCAAGTATAATTTCCTGAATGGGCAGCCATTGCTGGGGTAATTGTGAGTAAACTAGTGCGATCTCCTATGCGTGATGTCGACATGCCCATATGGGAGGACAGGTCCTCGCCATGAAAACTCCATGATAACTTGAGGGGTGTGTCACCTCTAGATGCAAAGCAATATACCTGCACTATTTCCCCTGCGTAAGTGTTCTCCTCGAATGTAAATGGGTTGATATAAGGGCGAACTGTATAAAAATTACATAGCATTATGCAGAAACTTAAAATTTGGCTAGTTGTAAATTAAATGAACAACAAAAAAAATAAAATAAATAAAGAAAACTAAACAGGCAGAAAAGCAAATAAAATATGGAGTGATGAAAACAGAATAAAAAGAAACAACACTAAAATCAACTAATATATATTCAAGTCTTCAGAAAAAATTAGGCACATATTTATGAATGGAATACTTAGGTCACAGGGAGGATTGAAATGAATGGTAAATGTATCGTAATTGAGTAAAGATTAGTTTTGTAAAAATATAACATTTAACATCTAAAGGCAGGCAAATACCATTCACATATACGGTCGTTGTAAAATTAATAGTTCCTGCAGAATTAGATGCGGAGCAGGTGTAATTTCCAGAGTTTGTGGCCTGCGCCGAGGATATGGTAAGGAGGCTCGTCCTCCCACCGATCTTGGTAGTCGTCACTCCCGAAACAGATGGATTGTCTAATAGGTCACCGTTGAAATCCCACATAATTGTCAAGGGTAAGTCTCCCTTTGAGACGTGGCAATTCAGCTGAATGCTATCGCCGTTATTTATCTCTTCGTCAATACCAAATGGTATAATGTGGGGTAGAACTGCCAAAAAATGTATTAATATTATAAAATGGTAATTTTTGTTATTAAAGGAAACCATTCTAGAGACATGAGGGAGTTTCCATATATACAGCTTGTCTCAGCTCTTAATCGACAAACTCTAAGAGGTGATTCTAGACAAAAACGTTCATTTGATGTAAGAGCCGATTTTGAACAGAAAAGGAGTTAAGTCCGATTTTGTGTTTTATTGATATGGTCCTTTTCTCTTTTATAGAAAGCAATTACACACGAATTATTTAATTTATATAGTTAACAATTGCTTCATAGTAAACTAGACAAAATTTCCTTTAAATACAAGTAGAGTTTGTCTTCATCAAAACATTTAAATGAGACTTCTGAGCGGCTAAACTACACTAAGTTGAGTTTTTTATTAAAGCATGGATTATTCGTGATATTTTTTTATTTTCATATAACTGAACTACAGATAAGCAAAATTATGTGATTTAATATTCTATTTTTTATATTAGTATATCAATTAATCATAATTAACTTACTAACACAGATCTCAGGCCAAAAAAAAAAAAAAAAAAAAAAAAAGGAATCAAAACTATAATAATTTCATTTTCATACAGAGATGAATCTTAACTTTATTCTGCAACAATCCTCAATAAATTTTTATACAATTAAAGATTATTAAATAAGGATCTTTTTAAAAGTGGGGTATCTGTAGTCAAGTTGTAGAATGATAATGAAATATCACGAATAATCAATGATTTAATGAAAAACACAACTTAACATAATTTAGCCATTCAAAAGTTTGGTATAAATGGTGTTGATGGAGACAAACTTTACTTGTGTATAAAGGAAATTTTGTCTTCTTTACTATGAAGTAACTGTTAATTACACCAATTAAATAATTTTTGTGTTATTCTTTTCTATGAAAGAGAAAACGTGATCACTATAAGAAAACACAAACTTTGATTTAAATCCTTTTCTGTTGAAAATCGATCCATGTACTTCCATGAACTTTTTTGTTGGAAATTTTGTCTAGAATCAGCTCTAAGAGTTGGACACTCTTTATAAAATCATTTAATCTTTTAACAGCTTCAGTTAGTGATTACTAATAAAAATTAAAATAAATAATTTGGCCCACCTAAGTGATTTAAAAAAAAAAAATAAATGATGAGACTATATGAAATGTAAATACGTGCTAGTGAATAAAACTAAGAAGTGTAATGTACAATGAAATGATGGAGAAAGGAAAGGAAATGGAATTTCAAAACATGCTTTAATTTTGATTTTTCAAGAGACCAAAGCTAACCAGAAACAATCATCGGAGCTGTAAAATCAACAACTCCAGCACGATTTTCAGCTTTGCATGTGTAGTTGCCCGAATGTGCCGACATGAGAGAATCGATTGTGAGTAAACTTGTTCTCTCTCCAATCCTCGATGTTGTCATTCCCATATGTGTCGATAAGTCTTCACCGTGAAACATCCAGGAAATTTTTAAAGGCGTATCGCCTTTCGAAACATAGCAGTTTATCTGAACCGATTCTCCAGCAAAAAGATTTTCTTCGAATTGAAACGGCACAATATAAGGCAGTACTATAAGAAGGAAAGGAAATTTTGATGTTAATAATAATCATGTCAAAGAAAAACTATAACAATAATTTTTTTTATTTGAAATTGATACCTTGAACAGATTTGATTAATGGGATTTGCAGTTGTGAAAAAAAGGCTAGATTAAAAAAATTAAATGAAAATTGGAAAAAGAAATTATAGTACCATTTACATGAATAGAAGTGGTGTAGTTTGTGGAACCAGCACGATTCGTAGCGGTACAAGTATAGTTGCCTGAGTGCGCTGCCATGGCTGAAGTGATCGTCAATATACTTGATCTATCGCCCCACTTAGCTGTTTCTATGCCCATGTGGGAGGATAATTCTTCGCCATGAAAACTCCAACTAATGGTTAAAGGTTTGTCTCCTTTAGACACATGACAATTAAGCTGAACACTGTCACCATTATTAACGTCATCATCCAAGTCAAAAGGATTGATGTGCGGTAAGACTGAGAACCAAATTCAAATGATTACATAGAATCATATATCCTTTATTAGAAGCAATATGGAGGAGAAAATATACTTAAAGAAATTTCCTAATTAATTCAGACGAACAGAATAGAATGATGAGTCCTCATATTTCATCATGGAATCTACAAGATCATAACATCAAAATGGTATCTATTCTTATAACAAAGTACAAATATACTATGGATAAGGGAAAGGTTGTATAGGCTGTTCAAACAAAAGCACATGCTGAATTTTTTTTCCTTTGTTAATTTTAGATACTTTTTTTTTATTCTAACCAGAAACTACAAGTTCAGCTGTAAAATTGGTTTCCCCTGCTTGATTTTCAGCTGTACAAGTGTAGTTGCCTGTATGCGTTGACATCAAATTCTCTATTATCAATATACTCGTTCTCTCTCCAACACGTGAAGTCGATATTCCTAATTGGGATGAAGGCTCTTCATGGTCAAAAGCCCATGAAACATGAAGAGGCGAATCCCCTTTTGCTACAAAGCATGTAATCTGCACACTTCCTCCGGCAAAATTCTTTTCCTCAAAGGCAAATGGCACGATGTGAGGCCTCACTATATGAACCAAGATAAAATACTAAGTAAAATATATTTACTTCCGTTGTTGTTTTTTAATTATCTTTTAATTTTGTCTAGTAGTGGAGTTTCTGGATACAGGTAGTGAGAGGAAGAAAAAAAAAAGTTAATAAAACAAAAACGGCTGATTAAAGACAAAAATACCATTAACAAAAATAGACGTAGTGTAGTTTGTAGACCCAGCACGATTTGTTGCTGTGCAAGTATAGTTCCCTGAGTGGGCTGCCATCGCTGAAGTGATAATAAGAACACTAGACCTGTCACCTACTTTTGTAGTTTCGATACCCAAGTGTGAAGATAGTTCTTCACCATGAAAACTCCAAGATATACTCAAAGGCCTATCACCTTTTGAAACATGGCATTGAAGTTGAACACTGTCGCCATTATTCACCTCGTCTTCCACATGAAATGGATTTATATGTGGCTGAACTGTGATGAAAGAAATAAAAAATGTTCATTTATCGATTTAGGTCAAACAAAATAATGAACCTATAATAATAAGGAATAAAATGCCAAGATTGAGATTAATTTAACATTTTCGCAATTGAAGAAGGAAATATGATCAGTGATAAAATTCAGCGGTAATACATAAATAAAGGTATTTAAGGAAAGGAGGTTATGTTATGTTAAACAATTTTCAAAATAAAAATTAATGTTTTAAAATTCAGGATTTTTAAAAAATTTTCAATGAGTTACAGCAGGCATAGTCCTAGCAACCAACTAATGCAGATGAACAATTTTAATGTACCCTTGACCAAAATGGACGTAGTGTAACTTGAAGTTCCAGCTCTATTACTGGCGACGCAAGTATAGTTGCCTGAATCTGCAGCTGTGGCAGAAGTTATCACCAAAATACTGGATTTTTCTCCTAATCTTGTAGTCGACAATTCTGAATTGGACTTCAATCCTTCTCCATTAAAAAGCCAACTAATATTTAAAGGTTTATCTCCTTTTGAGACATAGCAAGTCAATTGTGCATCTTCCCCATTATTCAATTCCTCTTCCAAAGAGAATGGGATTATATGTGGTAAAACTGTGATAAAATTCAAAATAAGGTATTTAAAAAGAGAGATGACTTAAGGAGGAATTAACTATCAAGGTATCTAATATAATGGTTTTTAAATATCAGTTAGTTAAAGTAAACTATTTAAGAAGGTTTAAAAATTAAAATATGAAATATTTATGAATGAAGCTGGACAAAAATTAAATTAACAGTAACAAACTATAAAAAGTGTGAAAAAAAAGTGCAAAAACAACTAAGAAAAGATCAAACCCATTATCCATTCTGTAAGCAATAATTAAAGCTCAAACCATTTACAATAAGTGGAGTAGTGTAGCTATCAGATCCGGCATCATTGGAAGCAATGCAAGAATAGTTGCCGACATGTTTGGATAAGATGATGGGAATTGTGAGGAGACTGACTCGAGGAGCGAGCCTCGCTATCGAAATTCCAGAATCTGTAACTTCCTTTGCAGGATAATCCCATTCGATTTTCAAGGGGAGATCCCCACTTCCAACAATACACTGCAGACTTCCGAAACTCTCAGCGTCCAATGGCAAGGATCCAAACGAAAATTCATTTATTTTCGGGGTAACTAACATAAGAGACAAAATAGATAGAAAAAAAAAAAAGGAAAAAGAATACTTTTAATAAAATATTATTAAAGTTTTGTTCAAGTAACAATTAAAATATCATATGAATAAAAACAAATAAAAGCTTTGCGTTTTGAATAAGTTCAGCTTATTTTTAGCCTATTTGTATAATTTGAAAAATAAATAATGGGTAATTAGTACTATGTTGTAAATATAAAAATTTTAATCAAATCAATCAACGATACAATTTAATTTTAAAACTATATTCTTGAACAATTAATTATATTCTAATGATGGTTTCAAAAAGTATTTCTCTTTGGGTATGGCACGCTATTAATAATACAACCACTTATATTTTAGATACTAGCTTCTTTTTATTCACGTTTAAAAATACAAGACATAATACATATTTATTTAATATACTTGGTAGTTAAAAAAACATAGGAAGTAGGTTGTAGTCAACAATGGTTTCACAAACATAATTAAATCTAATGAAAATGTAGTAGGTATTAATCCATGTTTGAATTTTATAAACCCCCTAAAATACAAAAACACTTAATAAATTAAGTTGTTTTTTATAGGATTTTTTTTAGTTTATAAATGTTAATTTAATAAATTTTGTATGACAAACTTGTTTGCACGGGTATTAAGTTGTTGTGACAACAAATATGGACACGAACCTACACACACACGCTTTTCATTATATAGATCAATATCCATTTATCTTATAGATTTTTAAGCTATACGAAGAAGCTTATCAATGTTTCTGTTTTTATTCATATGACATTGTATTTTAAGTAAAAAAATGGATCCAACTACCTAATCAAGAAGAAAGAAACTATCAGCAACTAGAAATCAAAACAAAATTCATTGTGCAAATTTTGATAGTAGAACTTTTTTTTTTTTGCCAGGGTTGAGTTGTGATATTTATCAGCTAAATAAAGATACAAACATAGAAATATTAAGATAACATACTTAATCCTTTGAAAAATCCTTTAACCTGTTGTCGGGGAGAGAAACAAATTTAATAAAATAAATTACATGACATAACACTAGGTAATACTTACCATAATGGATAATTTTAAAAATAAAGTTTTAGTAAAATTTATGACACGATAATAGTAGAGAATTTATTATATTATTAGTTACATTAAAAAAAATACACATGTGAACAAGAATAACAATTAAGACCTTAATTTAAAAATGAATACTGATTTTTTTAACAAGTCATAAAAAATATAAACAATTTCAAAATTTCAAAGAATAGCGCTAATTAAAATATTAAATTTTACTAAAACTTTATCAAATAGAAAATAAATGCTGTGTTTATAATTATGATAAGAACATATCAATAAACTATTAAACTTTTATAACAGGCATGAATTTTTTTTTTTTTTAAATTTGCTCTAACCTAACCTACATTATTTAAGAGAGACATAGATTGACACAGAAAGAAGCTCATTAGGCTTCTAATAATAATGATCTTGCCAACCTATTCTGATCAGCAAACTAGAGTTTTCCAAATTTTTGATAATTCATTCCAAAATACTAAGAATAAATTGTGACTTACCCCAGTGGAAAGTAAACCTCATACACTATGAATTTTAAAAGTAACCAAATTATTTAATTATAGTTATTCAAAATTAACAAGGGCTCATAGTTTCGTTAACTTGATTTTTTTTTTTAAACCATGACTGGACGTCATACTGCTTATAAAATTAAAAGTGATAGGTTTGTTTGTTCAGATAAAAATTTTGAATATCGCCAAAACTGTAGTATGCATGAGTTTGGTGATAGTCAAATTTCATATTGCAACAGACCTATTAATGTAGAATAATTATAAAAATAGAACTGAAATAATGAAAAATAAATTATAAAGGCATTATTCATTAATAGATACTTTTTAAAATTATTTTAAACATGAAATTTTGGTTTGGATTTCTGAAGTGCTAGTGCGTTAGAGCTCCACTCAAAAAGTACACATCACAAATATTGATTTCACAATAATAAGTATCACAATTAGGATATTGATATATATTTATTGACATAATTTTTTTCTAAGTATTTTAAACCCTCCATCAACTGTTTATTTAATATTTTATACCAATTTAAAGCCATTGAAATATATTTAATTTTATGTATTTGAAATATATGTAAATATTATCATCCATATTTAGTAAAAAAATATTAAAATGTAAGTAATGAAACTAGTGTTAACCCAGTGGTCTAATTTGACCATAATAATTATTGAAAATTTCAGAAAAACATACAAGAATTTGCATGTTTCCAACTTTTTGTTTCTACTGTTATACATTTGCTCACATACTCTTGTACATACTTGAATAATTTATTCTTGAAATGTATAAATCAAAAACTTTTTTAATTCTGGGAGAGTGGAGTAGCCCAGTGGTTCGAATTCCAGCTTTTGGCAGATAAATAATTTATTCTGTTACATCTGCCATGGGTTGTCGTCCATGGTGTCGGGAGACTCTCCTCGGGCACACCCAGCCTCTATACAGTGGATACCCTTAATTAAAATAATTAATTAAGGGGAAAACCTGGCGGTTGAGCGTGATCTCGGTCTGTATACGACAGATACTCTATGATAGAAATACAGATACTCTAATTCTAGAAATATTGATAGTTGAAAGTAAAACACTTAAAAATAGCGAAATCAATATTTATGTCGCAATCTGTGTGGAGCTTTAACATACTTGTACTATGTATATTTGTATTAAATATAATAGAAATCTTATTATAGAATAGAATGACTGTATAGGCCCATATTTTATGAATATTACAAAGTGAATAATTTAAAAAAAGAAATAATATTCCTGATCCTATAAAAAAGAATTGGTATTACAACTTTTTTTCAATTGTATTTTTCAGTAAATAACATGAATGCTTTACTTAAGGAATAAAATGTTTAAGATATTAAAATATTGGACAACTTACCCATAACTTGAACATCAAGTGTTCCGCGAGAAGTGTATCCTTGAGAATTTTTGACAACGCAAGTGTAAGTTGCTTGATCAGACAGCCTTTCCAAATTTTCAATGATCAAAGTTCCGTTTGGAAAAACCTTTTGCTTCCTGTTGATAGGCAGAGCTCGTCCATCTGTAATATTATTAATGTGATTGTAATATAAAACCTATCATTATTACCAACAAATCAATTTTTTAAAAAAATTATATTGATTTTTTATTTCCAAAAATACCCACAGTGAGATAAGTGATAACTATAACTCTAACACAAACATATTATTTTGGCTTTGAAGTATATCTTAGTCTGTTTTCAAACGATCCTGAAGAGTTTTAACAGTAAAATTTGGATACATCTGTTGAAAAGTTACACTTTAATTTATATGGTACAAAATTAGATGTTCTAAATATTTTTTGCAACTCAATTATAACACAATTCAAAAGGTATAAAAACAAAAGAAACTCAGATAACCAGTGTAATTAGGTGATTTATTTTTGGATTTAAATTTTTCATGTTGATAAATTTTAAATTAAAAGAAAATTGAATAATTACTATTTTTACAAAATGCAGGTGGTGGGAGTGATTTCATTTCAAGTTTATTAGCTTTTTTACATAAAAGTATTCTTTTTTTTTTTTTTAACTTGGTTTATGGATGATAAATATTCAGCACGCAGTCATTATAATTTTTTTTTTTTTTGTGCCAACGTTTCAACCCAAACATGTTGTGGGTCATCATCAGGATGTGGTTCGAGCACTAAAGGTTTTCAAGCACAGACACGAAACATTGGCACAAATAAAAAAATTTTATAGTGACTACGTCCTGAATATTTATCATCCATGATATGTAGAACAGTCGACTAGCTTCCTTCAATAAACTTGGTTTAGGTTATGATAGCGAACTAGAAAGAAAAAAAAAATTCATGCAACTCCTACCAACAAACATACAGTTTTTGGATGTTTGTCACTTGTTGGATGATAACATGGCAAAAATAAAATAAAAAAAATTTTCTCCTTTTGAAAATTTTGAATTACTGCCAGACATCGTGGAATTCTATATGAAAGAAAATAAAATTAGAAAATCGCCTGCTTATATGGCCCAACTAAATGTCTATAAATTGCAACATTATCGTATCAAATAACTCAGTTGTCATAATAACAATAATTAAAACAAAATAATTATAATTTAATCAATACCTCTTTCCCAAATGATTGAGTCAATAGGATATCCAGCATAGGGGCAGGTAACAATCAAGGTTTCTCCAGCAACAATAGCTTTCTTCTCCATTGGTCGAACGAATGGCTGTCCGTAAATATTGATCCTTTCAGCATGCTCGGTGACTCCAACTTTTGATGATGCTACACACTTGTATAAACCGCCGTCATTAGTCTGAACGGATGACATATTCAGGTGAGAAATGACATCTCCTGCCAGAGAAGTGTACTGTCCAATTTGCTGCCTGAAATATGAAGTAATTAAGAAATTAATTTTTAAAAAGGAAATAATAAAATATTGTAATAAAAATATGAATAAAATTCCATTATATTTCTTTTGTGATAAAGTAAAAGGCCAATAGATTTATTTTATAAGTTGACAAATTTTCAGACAACTCGAACCATTCTCAAGGGCTATTCTGAAAAAGGATTACTTATAAACATCTTTTATGTCATTGTTCTTTATAATGTTTTATCATCTTTATATTAATAAAACAAAAAAATAAAGTTTTCCTCTGCTGGTATGCATTCTTCATAAACAGGATAATGATTCTACAATCTCTCAAATTCAGTTAAATTGGATAGACTGACTTATTATCCTATTTACAGAGGACTTTGTGGGGCAAAATCCCTTGTAGTGTATGGATGGTATGCATTCCAACAGAATTTTGAGAAGATAAAATTTACGTTGTGATAAAGTGATAAAACAATAGTCTAGGGACGGGGCTCACTAGTTGTCTTGTGTCGGTTCAGTTTTAGTTTTTTGGTATAATGTACTATGACCACAAGTGTCTATTGTGCAAGTTGGTCAGCATTACTCAGTCTAGTCCTAGGCTTTTTTCAGGTGTTTGCCACCTCTGTGGCTGTCCGATCGGAATCAGTGTCCTAAATAGTCCACTAGTCGCATATTGCAGGATATCAAAAAATTGTATATGCCTGCATGTTATAAAATCTGTTAGTCGGTACTTCTAAGGGCTTGTGGAGTTAGGTCTGTTTTCTTCCTTTGTAATAAAGTGGGTTTCACAATATATCTCAGCACTCTTTTGATTGAGTTTTAATGATCTAGTAACCTTTTACTTCATTAAAAAAATAAATAAATAAACAGGAGGAATTATGGCAAGAAATATCATATTTCTTCATATTTTATTGACTTTATAAAAAAAATATACATTTGTAGCAATATAGTTACATATCAGACTCCAACAATACGACAGTTTTATTTTCTATACTTAATTGTTGAACTTTAATAATATGTTTTATACAATTTACCGTTGAATATAAATAATTATAATTTTTTAAAAATATTTAGATGAAATAAATAACTTCAAACTTGCTAATTTTTTAACTTGTCTGGGAGTCAGTTTTATAACATATCTATGTTAAAAATTTATTTAATCTACAGATCAGTATAGTTGTTAGCATACGCAGTCATATAATATTATGACATTAATATTATAAAGAGGCATTAGTATTAGGCAAACAGTAGTTGAGGCATTCCTAGAACTGGAAGTTGCTCCGAAACGGATGAGACTTATTGTCAATGAAACAAAACCAAGTACTTGGTATCATATCAAGCCCAGAGATTGAAAAGTCTCAATGATTCTTTCGGGCTCTAGAAGTTTGAGAAGGTCTCAGGGCTTTTTTACCTGGGATATATGGTAAACTGCAACAATGATGCTGCAGTGAAGATTAGAAGGAGAATATTAGCTGCTAACCGCTGCTATTTTGGATTCCAGAAGCATCTCAAGTAATTTGATAAGCAGGAGAACAAAAGTTATCATTTACAAAACTCTCATCCGTCCTGTATTATGGTATGGCTCAGAGATATGTACCACAACCAGGGCTGAAGACCAACTGCTCCACATATTTGAAAGTGTTATACCGAATTTACGGTGCCATGTAGGAAAATAATGAATGGAGGAGGAAAAACAATCGGGAGCTCTATGACCTATATCAAGAGCCAGACATCTTTTGTGTCATCAAGCTTGGTAGACAAGCCAGAATGTCTGATGATTTACCTACCAAGAGAAGTATTAGTGAGCCATTGTATAGCCAGCCATCTTAGAGTTAGAAGACAAAAGCTGGGGTGGGCAGATTGTGTAGCCCATGACGCTATAAAATATTTGAAGGTCCGAAACTGCACAGAGGCACAGAAAGAGCTGCATGGCAGTTGCTGTTGGAGGAAGCCAGGACCCTTTATGGATTTAAGTGCTAATGAAAAAAAAGAAGAAATAACTGAACTATATTTATTGATTATAAAAACGATTAATTTTTATGATTTGGCAAACTTGCTAATTCAGCCTGTCTGTGAGTCAGTTTTATAACCTACCTATGTTAAAAATTTATGTAATCTTCGTAAGGAACTACTGAGGTAAATATCAATTAAAATTTTAATAAAACAATTATTATGAAATAGATAAATGATGTCACTAAAAAAAAAAAAACAGCAATTATAACACTTACTTGTCTGACTTGATCAGTTTCTTTCCATCCAAATACCAAGTTATTTCAGGGGTTGGGTTTCCTTTGGCGACACACTTGAGTTTAAGATAAGCACCAGGTTGTAGGGTTTCATTGTTGAAGTAATCCTTAATCAATGGTGGTTCGACTGAAATAGAAATTAAATATAATTAATAATGTTTCTAATTCAAACTAAAATATTATTATAAGGAATATGTTTTAAAAGATTTTATATTGTGAAAAATAACAGTTGACACATTGTTTTATGTAATTCTGATTCACCAGTTAGTTCTCAAAGAAAATTTGTGCCTTTTAAGTTAAATGAATATTGTATTTTTTAAACCAACATTCTATACTTTCTGTTAAAATTTGTATTAACTTTTGTGAACTTTTAAATATTTAAAAAATGGCCACATAAACTGGCATGTTTGAGAAAATATAAAATTAAAATCTTTCTGTTTGTGATTTTGGGAGCTAAAGTTTACTGGGCAGATAATATATTACAATAAAATTCTTTTTAAAATAAATCAGATTAAAAATTCAAAAATAAATTCTTACATCGGCTCCCCAATTTAAGCTCTGCACTAGCCTGAGCGCTTTCTTGTTCATTTCTCACAAAACATTGGTACATTCCCTTGTCTTCCTTTCTCACAGATTCGATTTTCAACATAGCTTCCTTGTTTGGCAGTACTTTTCCGTCTTTAAGCCATGACAGTGTTTTTACAGGGTTTCCTTCGAAATTGCAAGACAACGTTGCTGGTCTGCCGAAATCCACAGTTTGAACAGATGGCTCAATGCTGGCACTAAGAGGAGCTGCAAGAAATTTAATTATAATTTATACAAGTTTAAGAACTTAATCACAATGCCTTTAATAGCGACTAAAGATCCAACAATTTTAACAATTATAAAAAATATACATAAAATAATACTTTTAACAATTTAAATACAGGGGTAACATTACACAAGATGTAACGCAAGAAGGACCAATGTGCATTACACACAGGTGTTTCTGAGATTTTCACCATTACTATCTTTTAGTTTTTCATGTAATTTGATATTACTAAACTTATTCGAGGTTATAATTTTAATAGTTTAATTAGCAGATAGATCCTTATAAGCTTTAATTAGAATGCAAGCAAAAACAGATTAGCCTTTGAACAAAATAGCAGTTGCTCCTTCTCGCTCAATATAGTCAATATGTAAGAGTTTTTTAAAAAATAAATAAATAAATAAAAACCTTGTAGTAAAAAAAAAAGAAAAGTTTTTCAAAAATACAAAAACTAAATTTCAAGCAATGTCATAAGATTTGAAGTATTGTAGCCAAAAGTTTTTTCTCTAGATGTTACTTAATTCTTATTTAGAAAATTATAATAAACACATGTAAAACATGCAAAATTAATTTTTTGTTTGATATATAGATATTTTATTATATGTAATTTTTTTTCCATATGTACTTGTTTTAGGTGCAAATTTTCTAATATAATAAAATAAGGCTGTATTTATTTCTTCACCATATTTATTTCAATTTACATAGCTACGTTTCAGCCGGTAAGCCATCTATAAGATAAACACCATTCATTTTATATTTTTATGTAATTCTACACTCTATGAAGGTGCTATTGGTCCTATTTAATTTAATATTCTATGAATTATAACTGTAATTAGGTTAAGTCAATTTTTTAAATTTGTAATTAAAACTACCAGTTAATTTGTAATTAACAGTACCACTAGATAGAATGAGGTTGCTTTTTCATTCAAATCCAGAAATGTCAAAGTAAGATCAACAGGCCTAAGTAACAATTTATTACTTACCAGTGACTGTAAGAACTGTTTCAACACTTTCACCGCCAACTGAATTATTAACAACGCAAAGGTATTTTCCTGAATCTTCAACTTTTGCTTCACGAATAATAAGAGTTCCTGAAACCTGCTTCACTCGGTCGTTCATTACTACAGCCTGCTTTTTGGAAGTGCCTTCGACGAATTTGTACCACCTGAAAAGAAATGACAAAACTGAAATTGGAAGTACTTTATAAAGAATTTATTTAATTACAATTTTAAAAACAATATTTTCAAAGAAGCGGGATTTGAAAAAAAAAAAAACAAGAATAAGATGAGAAGAAAGAATGATGAATTTAATCCATTAATTTTTAAATAATATTTAATTACTTATACTTTAAATAGCTGAAATACCGAGTATTAATATGAATCGTTTTATAATTTAAACACAAATCTATCAAATCACTGAACATTATTCTGATAAATTTATGAATAAGTAAAAGAAAAAAAATGATATTCATTTGACGTTTATAACTTTATTACATTAAATAAAACCTAACTAATCCAGTTTGCCATAAGCATATTTTACTTGGAATGGTCCTTAAAATTTGTGTTTTTTTAAATAAATGAAATATATAAATATACTTAAGAACAAAAAACTGATTTTAAATTACTTATAAACTGTAAAAAGAAACAAATGATAAAATGATAGATGCTTAATACACTTGAACCATTTAATAGCTTTAAATTAAATCTTCAATAATAATACAGCAGTAATAGTTTTAATAACTATTTTATAATTCAAAATTTTAAACACATCTGAAGCCATAAATTGATTTCTTGTTATAGCTTATACAAAGTTTATAAAATAAACATAAATAATAAAGAGTTGCTTGCCTATTAAGTGTAATCTTAGTATGAGAACAAAATTTTACGAAGTTAATTTTAAAATTAAGATAATTTTTTTCTTTAAAACTTTATTAATTAATTAATTATAGATATTATTTAAACATTATAATAGTAATCATATAGTTATAACTTTTTTAATATTTTTATGTATACAATAAAAAAAAATATCAATAATTTGATGGTACGTGAAAAACTATTTGCATTAGTAAATCTTTATAATAACATATAAACGGAAGGTATCATATTTCACAAGAAATTATTGAAATCACTCAAAGTTTTAAAATATATAAATATAATACTATGCAATAAAATATGATAAGAAAAATTGCAAATTCTCATCAGGATCATTAAATATAAGTAAGGAAGTGGTTCCAAAGGTAGGAATTAATAAATAAAAATAAAGGGAAAAGCTATAAGGTAATTGCGAGAGAGGTAGCGATTTTTAACAGATGAATAATAATAATTTAAAAAGTGTTTAAATATAAGTATTCATTATTTTTAGAAAAGAACGAAGTGAAAAAGAAAGTAGAGAAAAATCTGAGTGCATATCCATGTAGTCAGGTCTTCAAAAAGTCTACTGAGAAATCTCAAAATTCAGGTTTGCCAACCTACAAAACATCTGGCAGTAATAGAGAGAATCAAAAGATGGACAAGATATATGACCCAACAAAACAGAGAAACGGTGAGAAATAACAAAGAGGTAGAAACAAATTGCTAAGTTCGCCTAAAATTATGGCTCATAGCCAAGATTGAGGAATATTATTGAGATGTAGATCAAAACTTTATTGTGAGAATGACAGGAAGCCAAGAACAATATACTTGATATTAAAATACAGAGAAGATTGAATAAGGATAGATTAATTTGGAAAAGGATTTGAGGAGGCAAATGGCACCCATGAAACAAAGAAAATTATTATTCAATAATTAATCATAAACTAAAATAATAATTACAATAAATGTTTACAGTAATAAAAACGTCTAGTTATAATATAAATACATAAAATCAACAAAACGAACTATATCATAGTATGAAATTTTCAATCATAACTGTCTACATGATGAGAGGAAATAAAATTAGGTACTTTACATATTTTATGTTTTTTTTTTATAAATAGTAATTTTAAAAGGCTCAATAGATTAAAATTCAATTTAATAAAAATTAGGTAACTATCAGAACAAATTTATCTAATACGCCATACTTAAACATAAAATAAACAGTAAAATGCATAGAATATGCCTTGGCATAATTTTTTAAAATTTATTTACAAGTTTTTGATCAAGCATAAAATCGTTGTCTTAGACGATTACCATCGATTATGACTTATCATTCGAAATATAACAGCATCATGACCCTATCAAAAGCATGACCCATACCTGAAAATATTGAACTGATTATGATGTATTGAAGGCTTTATGTTGATGTTTTTATGTTTCCTTTTTTACATACCTGCATTCAGTCCAGAAGTTTGAAAAGACTTGCAGAGCATCCTGTAAGTATTTACTCAAAATGTTGTACCATGGACTATAAAAGAAAAACTCACCTATACAGAGGAACTGGATATCCCGAAACAGAACATAGCAGATAAATAGAAGAACTCTCAGGATACATTACGATTTCGCCTAAATTTCTTTTTCCTTGTACTTTAGGCATAACATTACTGGTAGGCTCTGAAAGTTATATTTTTAAGAAAGAGAAGGGAAGGGAAGAGCACAGTAAGATATGCTGCATTTTTTTTTTAATTTAAATTTTCTTTATGGTAACACAACAATGAAAGCGATACAAGCATTAAAAACATTTAATATTTTTGTTAACACTGCTAAGAAATTATTGAAAGAAGTTAGTCGACTGTTCTACATATTGTGGGGGATAAATATTCAGGATGCAGTCATTATTAAAGTTTTTATTAGTGCCAACGTTTCAACCCAAACACATGGGTCATCATCAGGGCGTGTTTCGAGTACTCCAATGAGTACTTTTCGTTACCTCATTGAAGGTATTCAAGTACTCAAATGAGTACTTGAATACCTTCAGTGCTCGAAACATGCCCTGATGATGACCCTCATGTTTGGGTTGAAACGTCGGCACTAATATAAATGTTAAAAATGACAGCGTCCTGAATATTTATCACCCGTTGTTAAGAAATATTATTGTGTTAAAATATATAACAAGAATGGATATAGAACTTTTCGTTACCTCGTTGAAGGTAAAGGATACCCTTGGGCCAGACAAAGTAGATCAAAAGTAGAGCCAGAACTACGAATGAACGATGATATTTTAGTTTCAGTGGGAAAAGTAGGTGCTTTAGCTCCAACTGGTTCTATAAAAATAAAGATACCAAACACCCACAAATGAGGACAAACCAAACAATTGTAAAAAAAAAAAAAAAACCTAATTTCATTAAATCAGGCCTAAATAGGGGGGCAGTTAATAAAAAATTCCAAGAGAGTGAGACACATTTAAAGCACATCGTACAAAAACGCACAACCAAGGTGACATTTTATTTATTTAAGGCTGTCACAGCTTTAATTTTTCTTACCTGAATGTCGGAGAAGGGTAACCCTGCGCTTGGCATATAAGTGAAATATCAGTTCCAAAAATTCTATCGAAAGAATTCACCTTATCGTCATTAGAAAATGTTGGTGGCTTCACTCCGACTGGATCTAACAAAATTTATGAATATGTCTTAAAAACAGCCTAATAAACCTCACTAAGTAGGATCTAAAGATTTTATTCAAATTTCTGGTCAAACATAAATTTATCAATGCATTTAATTTAATTTAAAGCTTAACAGTCCAAATGCAAGAAAACTTGTCTATAATAACCGTAAGTCATAAAAAGTTAATAAATATTCTTTCATAATGGCAGTCAAGCAGATGCCAAATTTAATTAACATAGTTTTCAATTTGATGCGAGAACCTATCAAAAACCAAATCAAATTTTTTTTTCCGAATAAACTCCATCAAGCACACAGAATTTTAAAAATCAAGTCACAATTAATTTGGATATATGGTTATGAAAAATGTAAAAGTGATTTTCTTTCTTTTTTTTAAATATCCCAAACAGAATACGGATCTTATGAATATTTAATATTTACTGAGTAATTCCAGCGACATAGTTTTCTTAAGATCTTCTAACTAAGCATAGTTCAGTAAAGAAATACTGATTAATGTTCCACACTATTATAATTTATTAACAAACTATTAAGCAATATAAATTAAGTTTATTTCAACATTGTCTCATACAGTGGTTTGAGGAAGATTACACATGTAATTAAATAAATCTATGACCACTCCCTATTTTCTTTCCATATTATTTTTGAATAGTGTTTTCACTAATAGTTAACAGAATATTACACAATCTGTGGCATACAACGATGTTGATTTTATGAAAATAACGCTTAAATTTTTACACTTTTTTTTTTATTTTGTGGAAAACATTAAATATTAAAATTGAATATTTAATAGTTGACCGTTGCATTATAAAGGAAGGAGTGTGGTGGTCATAAATAGGCTAAATAGTGGTAAAACTATTTTATTAAAAGCCACCGTTTCAACCCGACTTTGCAGGTCTTCTTCAGGGAGGTGTGTTCAGCTAGGAGTTTCACTTAAAACTGCACTTGACTTGAGTTCTAAGAGAAACTCCTAGCTGAACACATCTCTCTGAAGAAGACCTGCAAGGTCGGGTCGAAACGATGGCTTTTAATAAAATAGTTTTACCACTATTTAGTCTATATATGACCGCCACCCCAGACCATCTCCTTTAAATATCAAAAGTTTTAAAACTGTCAAGATTAAATATTTATAAATCTGTTAATTTATTTTTAATTTTAATTGTTTTATTATAAATACAAAAAGTTGTTATTAAAAAAAAAAGTTATTATAAATAACTAAATATCCTCTAAATGAAAATAATTTTAAATAAAATACATCGTTTTCTAAAAAACAACAATATTATATCTAAATATCTACTGTTTCTAATCAAAGTTTATATTTGTTATAAAACTTTAACTAATATTTTATTAGAAGTATTATTCCACTTTGTGAAATACAAGTTTGTAAATAAAAGAATTATTAGAGTGATAAGATTTTCAAGCGATAAATTACATATCTCAAGCACTCACGTACTTAAATGCTGGAAGTGGAAAACCCTGCGCCTGACATAGCATACTATAATCTTCACCGTAACTATGAAATAGATAGTTTCCTTTGACACCCACAGTAGGAGATTTAGCCCCAACAGGATCTGCATAAATGTAAAAAAAGGGATAGTAACTAGCCAATATTACTGTTATAAATTCTATCATTT